TTAAATTATTTCTAAGAAGCTACTTAAGTAAGCTTTACTTTAAAAGCGCTTATTTTTTTACTATAAATAACTGCTTTTACTACTAGCTAGATTATATAGCTAGCGCAGCGTATATAGTGCTTAGAGGTAAGGGGCATATTAAGATATTAGGTAAGAGTAAAAATAATCTTATTATTATTATTTAACATATTATTAGCTACTAAATAATAAAATTTTAACATAATTTTAAAGTTATTAATAACTTTAATAATCTCTAGCGCTTAATTTACTCTAGTATAGTTACTGTAAGGCCGGATGTCCCAGAACGGGCCAGTATGGCCTCACCTAACCTGTTTGGAGGTCGTATGACCTGTGCTTCGTATATAAGCATAAATCCTAACAAGCGAAGCTTAGCAGCGATTCGTCTCTCTTACAATACACTCCTATCTTTCTCTAAAAGCTTGCTCTTAGTGCTATCTGTGCTACTTACTATCCCATCTTTACAGTTACTATACAGGTTGCAAAAGCTAATTAAGATGTTATAGTGTTAGTAGTTAACATCTATGTAGTATTATTAGTTAGTGTTTAGTTTAATAAAAAATGCTAAAACACTAAACTAATAAGCTAAGGTACACTTACTAACAAAGTGTAATACTACACCTAGAAAAGAGAGGTAGTTTAGAGAAGTCTATATATTAACACTTAATATAATTTTGTTTTAGGCTATTCTTAGCATTATTTAAATCTCCTGCTTCTGCTGCGTATATCCCTACTACATGTAGGACAAATATGTAGTGTTAAACGCTAGAAGGGCAGCAAAAAGATTAGCTTTATTTTAGGTAATAATACTCTAAAGTTCTGCTAATAATACTATATAAAAAGAAATATTATAAAGTATTACTTAGTTAATAACTACTACTTATAAAGCTTTCTCTTACTAAACACTATAAAAGATAATATATAATAAGCCTATAACTTTATAAGTTACTTTAAATAGACTTAAAGAAATTCTTAGCTTTTTAAGTAAAAAAGCACTTTTACTTTTTCTACTAATGTCTATCTAGTGCTTTTTTCTAAAGTAGTAGATAATATAAGTGTAACTATTAACTTTCTTTACTTTTTTATAATTACTCTTAGTATAGCACCTTCTGCAGAGCTATAACTTTATTCTAGAGGTGTTTTTTTTATTATTATACACTAAATTAGCTTTATAAAGCTATATCTAAGATAACTAATAATTACTATATAATTAGCTTTTATGCTTTACTTAGTATCTAAGCTTTTTTAGCTTTAACTTTCTATTTCTTATCTAGATATTATTTTACTTAATAATAAATAATACTTTATTATTAAAAGTAAAGTTGTCTAAGTACTTTTTTATAAAAGCTAAGAGACTATTAGATAGCATACTATTATAAAAAAAAACTAAGAACTCTAATAATAAAGACTTTAATTAGGCAAGTTAATAAAAACTAGTGTAATAAGTAACTCTAGTTTAGTAAGAAAAGCTAGCTTAAAAGAATTCTTAGAATAAGGCTGTACACCTGCTATACTAAAGAAACTAGGACATCTAGCTTATAATAAGTAAGTTTATAAGTAATTATAATTCTTAACTAAAATTATAAAATCTTATGCTTTAATCTTTTTTTTTGCTAGCTTCTTAATTATTATATAAACTACAGAGTTTTTACTTAATTATTACTTTAAAAACATAACTTTAAACACCCTTCTAACGCGTCCCTATAGCTGTCTAATAAGACCTTATATTACTAGGAAATATTGTCTCTCTAAGACGTATTACGGTCTGTAATAGGAGCTGGCTCCTACGTACGTTACGGCTCACACTCCTCCTACGTTTCAACGGCTCACGTGACTGCTACGTTCACGTATCTACGAGTCGTAGTACGTACGGTTGGGAACGCTGCGGAGATTATCAATCGATTCTGGCCACTCAACTATAATCAACGCCATTTCTATAGCTCCTACTGCCGCTCGCAATAGTAGAAGCCTACGAAACCATGAATAACATCTTACTAGAGCCTCTCCAGAACGGTCTTTCAAACCAGAGGTTAGATTTGATAACCTGTATTAAGAAAGACACGTTACTAAAAGAGCCACACAAGCTCTTCTCTATTCTGAGTTTGACGATATCGACACAAGTGGCCTTAATGGGGCGCCTGTATGGTATGCCTCAAAATATTTGGCAGACTACAACTTTGATACTGGACTATGGCTAATTTAATGGTTCTTGGGGAAGGAAGAGAGGCTCGGCACACTTCATCCTGTTTTCGGGACCGTGCCAGCTCGCATTCTAGTTGAGCGAGTCTCAGCCATTGGTCTTGCAAACAGTTGGATTTGCTAGAGACTTACGGAGAAAAGAATCGAGAACGACGCCGGTGAAGATATGTAGGAAGAAGATACAGATGAGGAGGATTTAGATGAAGAGGAGTTGGACTACAACGAAATGGATTTGGCTAAAGCAGAGTCAATATTTGGGAGAACCCTTCCAATCGACTGCATAAACGATTCCAAGTGCTTGTGCACATACAATGAATGTGGCGCTATGACTGCCGCTCTGAAAGCTACTCAGCAATCCTCAAGTGAGGAAGGCGGAACATAGGCCGGAAGGTACCACCTAGCCTACCAATCAGACAGTGATCTGAAAAGGGATGTGACTGAATGGATATGTGACTCTATGGAACTTAATGTCATAAAATTCCCTTCGGTGTCCTTATCAACCATTCGAGTTATGACTTTCGACCGATTACGGCTCGCCCATACATACGATAGTCATGGGCATGGATGGCATGGACGCGAGCCCCGATCTCCGATCACAGACCGAGAAATGAAAAACATCCACTTCGTGGAACAGGCCAATATCGCATATTTAGACCAATTAGTCAAAGAGTTTGAAGAAAACCTGGCAAAAGCAAGAACACTTCTCGAATTCATCGATATCTACTGGATTCGTAGATTGGAGGAGATATAAGCGGGGCAACTCGCTCCACAAGAAGACAAGATCCAAAGAACCAAGGATATAGGCGTCACAATTGGATCTGGGCCGCTGGAGGAGGATTTCAAGGTGTCAGAGCTGGAAGTGGGCTCATGAAATTGTTTCGAATGGGAAGTCAATAGAATTATGAACTCGGCGTACATGCGGTAGCTCTTCCGGAAACAAATCAACCCAATTTTAGCACCTCGAATTCAAATCTCCCCATCCCTATAGATCCCTATCCCACCTCGATCGCCCAACCACTCTCTCTACCCTCGACATATCCACATCCACACGCAAATCGGCACAAAACCCAAAACCTCGGTAACTACGAACACACCCCACGCAATCCCCAACTAGTTTTCATCCGTAAACGGCATGGAGCAGAACCCCAACGTTTTGCCAAACATCTAGCGGCCAAAGTTAAGCAAGGTCCTGGTTTCTGCAGACTCCGTTTTATAGCATTCCACGGATCAGCATTTCCATTAGTTAATATGAAAATAGAAGGAAATTCGAGGAAGGAAATTTGTTCACATTAGTTATGGACGGAACAGTCTTTGCCGACACCATCTACAACCCTAACGCCTCAGTCCTTATTCCCATTACCAGCCCCATCCAGTGCATTTCTGGCCGTAATGTCACCCCCTAAGCCACCGATTACAGCTGCCAAGGATCAGCTGCGAGCGCGGAAGGAAAAGGGTACGAGCATATACTGTACTCTCCCATGCATAAAACATATAATCGGTCACAGCCGCCCTCTCCGCGCTACTTTCAACACTGACAAAACATCTCTCAGCCACAATCCCGTCCCAATTCTTCGCTGCCCCACTCACCGCGTGCGCAACAATCCCTAGCGCTGTCACAAAGATAAATATCTGTCTTCTACCATACACATTCTAAATCGGCGACCAAATCGGCGGGGCTACACCAGCAAAGGCAATGGGGATTGCTGTTTGGTAGGAAGCTTCTACGATGGCGATGTGGGGGTCGACAACTAAGGATGGAAGGCGGAGTTATGGTGGCTAATGTGAAGGGGCCGAGGAAGGCGAGGAAGGAGACTTGGAAGAGGATCCAGAGTTTGAGAGTCGTCGGCTGGTCAAGAGGATCTGCAGGATCGTTGGAAGGTTGATGGTGGAGAGGGAAGCTATGGGGATCGAGTTTTAGAAAAGTTTATTTAGGCGTCATATTTTCTTAGTGTTGCATGGAAATATTTGTCAACTCCTCGTCCGGCGCCATTTTTTGCTACATGGAATGTCGTAACGACACAGGAAAATAAATTGGAATGGAGTTTGAATTTGAAGATCAAACGAAAGAGACAAGACAATTCGCATTGACCCTTTCCGAGCTCTCTCAAGCTGGTAGGTGACATTTCTTAAGTTAAATCTTCGTTAGAGTAGTCGCTTGTCAGACGTGATCGACAATATCCATCTCCAGATATATCCTGTTGTACCCGCTTTCCCAAGTTGCATCATGCCCACTCACGTGCAATTCATCTTTCGGCAGTCTTACAAACGCGAGCCCTTGCCAATCCGCGCTTCGGAAGACCTGGGAATCGGGAGAAGTGAAAAATGTCGATCACATCGTAAATGCGCGAGTCAGTCCAGAACGTGAATTGGGAAAGCGACTTCACTCTTACTCGAAAGCTTGAGGAGTTTCTAGAATAGAAGGCTTCAGCCAGTAATTAATGATTTCTGAAATTTCAACGGTTTTCTAGGCCACCTGGCTTCCACCGACGTCGAAATAAGCTCAGCTAGGCCATCAATGTTCCCTGGAATCGGTGGCTAAGTGTGAACTGAGGCCTATCACCACCCAAGGTTCCTTCTCATGAGAACAAACAACAACATCTAAATTATACTCCGTAGCATCGTTAAGAACAAATTTTAGAATAAATTGGCTCCATCCCTTTTTGAGGTGGCTGTGCCTGAGGTTCGTGGCCGGCGAGCGGCGACGATCCCTGACGTCATGGAGTACATCACATCGATCCTGCTTTCCTTGCCAGCTAACATGTCCATATAAACAGCAACATACTCTCATCTTCCCCCTCTCCCACACACACTTCACAGACGCCCAATCTTCAGCGAGCAAAGCCCAGTTTACTTCAACTCCACCCCATACATCAACACAGTCCACCAAAATGCCACTCTTCGGCTCCCGCAACCCCGACCCCCCAACAACAGCCACAACTCAAAAGACAACCTCAACTTCTCCCCCTGCCCGCAACCGCTCCATCTTCTCCCGTCGTCGCTCCTCATCCCCTTCCCTGAACTCCCCAACCACTACGACGCAGTCACACTCCCCAAAAAGGCATTCTGGACTCCTGCACAGGCATGCAGAGGATGCTTCTATCATTGCTGCCCGCGAGCGCGTGATGTCTGCGGAAACTGCGGAGCGGGAGGCTGACCGCGCGTTGTTTGCAGCAAAGGCGGCTGTAAGGGAAGCTAGGGAACATGTAAAAAGATTGGAGAGGGAGGCTGCTGAGGAGTAAGTACAAATCTCCTATTTTGAAAATACACGATATCACATGACGTCATAGCGAAATGATGCTGGGGGAGTAGGGCTATCAATCGAATATAATGCTAACGAGTTGGTAGAGCGCGTCTTGCGAAGATTAAGCAGAACCAAGCTAAGGCTATTGGAAAGCGTGGGAAGGCTCTTGGTCGTATGTCATCCTACTTTCAACTTGCCTACTTTTACTGATAAGCATATAGGCCATGACCACTCAGTTTAAACGACCTCTAACATTAACATCAGCCTTCGTAGCTGTACATCTCGGCAATGGGCGTAAAGGACTCACTTCAACATTCTCATGCCACCATTTGCGTAACCCCGCCGTCAATGTCGACATGAACAATCAACACCATATGTACTACCACCACTACCAAATACGATTCAGGAAAGAGTTTCTGCGTTTCCGAAAGAGGACATGCACCTGTGATGTGCTCAATACCCAACATCTTCTTTCCTCTCAAACTTGCTTTGTTTTCCCCTTTTTTTAGGGCTGCAATTTTCTATAGTGCTCACTGAAGCTTTAAACCTTCATAATCCATTAGTGTTGCCCTGAACGGTTTAAGCGTTAGGTGCAAGCGAGTTATCAGTCCTCATGGTTATTGTACTACTAAATCCTGAGATGTATGATACCTTTTCGTGAACATCATCATGCGCATGTACCTGAATGACTGGAATCTCTTGCGTGTAAAGTGTCTTGATTGTTCATACATTGCTCAAGCCTATTTCCCGTCCCTAGAATAAAACATATATCTAAAACGCCAACCACCAACCCAATGCAAGTACATCCTCGCGCACGAGTAGAAAAAGCGCCGGAGCCATGCATGAATCCAAACCAGAACCCGAAAACCCCCATCTTGTCGGCTAGTTGACTACTTTCTGCGTTCCGCGCGTCCCTTGTCTCCACAGCAAATCTGCGTCTTGCCCAACCGTTTAAACAAGGGGGAATTTGGGGTGTTGTCAAGCACACTGACCTTGCGCACTCCCACCCCCATTCCCGAACTTCGCCATCGTCTTCACTACCGAGATCGTCATAACCGCGCACCCAAACGCCACCACTGCAGCGGCAACATACGTCCTCCAACTCCTCTTCGCCAACTTAATATAACACAACGGCGGTAATATATACGCCAGCGCACACGCCGACGTCGCGCCGAACAACTCAAAAACAATACCCAAGTCACACGTCAGCAGACTCAAAGACATAGCCGAGAAAACAAGCGAAGTGGTGAAGAGGAGATGTCGGTTTGGGTGGTACGGCTCTTCGGGGAACCAGTAGTTGTTCATGACTTCTCTGCAGACGAAAGCTTCGAGGGGGAGCGTGGTCAACATGTTTAGACCAAAACAAAGGCGCGCGATATTGACTAATATATTGTCTTTTGGGAAATTGTTGAGGACATTGCCGACGGTTTTGTCACCAAAGGTCAAGTAGCCTGAGAGCGCCATGACGAGACATGCAACGAGAGAGATAGAGGTCGAGTAGTGGGTTACGCGGCTAAAGCGGTCGATGGTGGGCTTGCGGAGGGAGCCATAGATGAGGAGACTGTTGTGGTGACAGACGAAGGCGAAGGAGATTACGCCGATGGCTTCGAAGATTCCTGAATGGATTAGGATGCTGCCGCGGAGTTGGCCGCGGGAGGACGCGGGGACGCGGAAACCTTGGGTTACGACGGTTACGATGATTATGGACATGCTGATTAGGGCGAGACCACTGGCTTTGGCGAGCTGCGAAGTGTTAGTCAGAGGAGAAGGGTGGGGAGTGGGGGCAGTGCCTTTGCGATGTCTCGGTAGAGGGAGAGGGGGTAGGATATGCCGAGAACAAGGAGAATTATTATGGCCCGTCGGTTTGTGAGAAGCCATAGGAAAGACATGTCTGCGAGTTTGGGGAAAAGAGCGTCAAGGACGCGGGGGATTGTGTCGCCGATGATGACGCAGAAGGCTACCATGCCGCCGAATGCACTATAAACTATTAGTATGGCCTTTTCATGCCCTCTTCCAGCGATTGTCCTCACAATAGCCATTGCGCAAGGGATATGGCGATTAGCCCGGACTTTCCAAAGCAATGTTCCACTGTCGCCTGGAACGAATTCGCGCCACTGAGCTTCGAGTTGATCACGATAAGTCGGATAGTCCAGTCAACGGTTATAGTGAGGCCTATGAGCAGAACGGTGCCCGTGACGAGACCAGCGTTGCGGAATGCATAGGGCTGGCCGATAATCCCAGCACCTCTACACCCAGTCAGCACCACGTCACTTTCCAATAACAGGCAAAACAGCCGATAAAGAGAAGTTCAACGCACATTATACTGTTTGCCATATTCATGAACCCGCTCAGCATGCCACTTCTCGGCCGCGCGCTCTCCAAGTGGTCCGCCGGATCAAACTCTTCAACCGCAAGCGTCACGGTCGGGGCCTCGATCCCCGTTAACAACGGCAGCCGCTGGACTCGTTCTCTCCCCTCTTCTCCCCTCGCATCTCCATACCCGTTCGCGTCGAGGTAGTCATCCCCCTCCAGCTCGATCCATTCAGCTCCGTGCGCATCCCCGTTCATGCGTGGCCGCACAGGATCCTCCTGGAAGCGCACACGGTTAGGCGTGCGCGGCGTGCCATCTGGCCGTGGTTGCGCGAACGAGGATACCCGCTTTGGGGCGCCATTGGGAGGTGCTGGGGAAGTCGACGAGGGCCGTGAGGAGGCGGGCGATGGAGAGAGGTTTGAGGGAGGGCGCGGCGGGCTGGAGTCGGGCTCGGAGTCAGTGTCGGAGGCGGGGTGCTCGTGGAGGAGCTGTTGCGACTCGCTCATCGTGGCATTGTCGGGAAAGGGAGAGTGACGAGTGAGTGAGTGTTACAACAGATGTGCGTGTCAGCAAGTCGAGGTTGTGAAAGTTGGTGATCCCTGCGGAACGGCTACTAGGGTTTAGGGGTGGGAGCACGGGGGTTTGTCCACTGAGATGCTCTAGCCTTAGGGAGGTTTAGTGCGGGGGTCATGGGAGGAGGCCTGACCTCCTCAAGCATCGTTCCTGCCTCTGTCTCAATGAACACCCATCTCCAACGCCATTACGGGCTTAATTCCCTCCTGACGGTTCTAAGCGTGTTCCTGAGGCTGGCGACTCCTTGGTCAGCGCTATCTACTATCTTCCCCTGACGTACTATTTGCGAATCTCTTCCGTCCCAGCCGCCGCATTGTAAGGCTGTGGCCAAGCTCGAAGCTCTAGAAACGTTATTTGCCTTCCGGGCCAGCTTCTCACCGGCGGGATCCTCGGGCTCAAGGGGTCGCGATACCTAGAGTCCAGCGATTGTTTCTGGCCCAAACTGAAGATGCGGAAACGGAGAGCTGCAATGTGGCGAGCTGCCCCCAGCCTGCAGGCCTCGATATCGACGACAGCCCCGATCCCTGCATATGATTTGTTGAGGCAGCAATCCTCATTTGGCTACCTGTAAACTCACTTCCCAATGCATGCTTGAGCCGAAACCTAGTATGTAAAGCGTCTTTCGAATTGGTGATTCGACTTCCCCTGTCGTCATGGCACTTGGCTTCATAATCTGCGCTGGTATCCTGGATTAGATTGGTGAGGAAATCATTTCATTCAGCGGGGTTATCCATTATGCTACTTTGGCCTATGGCTGGTGGAAGCACCTCGCGAGAAGTGAGCCCTTAGTCAGCGTTATTTCCAGCAATAGTTAATGCGGACCTGCCCTAAACTAGCTCCTTTAACTTGGAGGAGTAACCTCAAGTCCACACTGACCTAGAGAACCTGCAAGACATCTTGTTGCAAAGGGACTTTGCGGTATCCACCAGGTTACCAAAGGCGCCAACGGCGGTTCTCTAAAGTCCATGTGTCGCCTGCCTCAGAACTCTCACTACTGTGGTATTGTGCTAGTACTAAGTGGACGCGACCACGCACAACCGACTGGCCAAATTTCCAATCTCAGGACATCAGGAACCACATATGTAGTGTAGCCAGTTTTACTATCTCCTCCTGTTTCGCTCTTCTCGTTTTATGGTTCCCGTATGCGTGATCCACTCCTTCGGAATACTTCGGAATATTGCCGACAAATTCTACTTACAACTGGTCACTAGTCCTTAGCTCCATCCATTTCGACCCTTGTTTGGCGGTATCCCTAGTTTCCTAACACTATGATTAGTGTTCCTAGACTAGAGACATTGGTTTCAACATGGCGTCGCTCTGAGCCGCCTATGGGTTGTCATGCCTTTTTCATTCGGTTTCGTTTCCCATTCGCTTTGATTTTGGATGCGCATTTGTGCAAGGCCATGAGGGTCTGTTTGAATCACCGTCACAACTATCAGTAATTTTATCTTCCCAACAAGGGTTTAATTTCAGTTTACGATTTGCCTAACCTCCATCAACAGCGTTAGCCCAAGTTGGGTACCGGCAAGCGACTACCCTTCACTGTCGTATTATCTTTCGTTGGTCATCTAAATACATACCGTGTCGACGAATTTCGGAGCCCATTCGAAATAATTTCTTCGCATCAATACTTTCATCCCTGCTTCAAGGGCTGCAAGTTCCTTCTCTCCTAGGTGATCGGGCGGGCTACCTAACCAGTGCAGACTGCCTAAGAAGTTGTCACGGAAGGAGCCTTTGCCACCGTCAATTGAGCACAGCCCACCCGAACATCCTTTCTTTCCCCGACTCTTCAACAAACAGCAAATATAACACCGTCACGATACACCAAGACAACAATATGCAGCGATTCAGATTCCTATCCATCTTCACGGTCTTAGCCATTGGCTTCTTCGCATCTGCAGTTCCAACCACGAGGACTCCGCCATCCTCACGAGACAAAAACCACGTACGCGATCCTTCCTCTCTACCCTAGTTTCACTTACCCATCCACCCACCCACCCACTCCCCAAACCCGCAAATCTCTCTCTATGGCCGCCAATACGCCGACCCCTGTGAAATCCAACACGTCTCTGGCAAGGGTGAGTGTCAAACCGTCAACACCACGTAGGTTCCTCCTTACTTCCTTCCCTAAGGCAACCTCTCACAGCTATGACTTTCCAGTGCTGGTCACAATGCCCGCTCTCTCATTCTCCCCGAAGACCCAAATTTCGGGTGGCAGGGTGCATTGTGGCCGGCCCGAAGCCTTAGATAGGGTGTACGGAGGTAGTATGGACCGCAGTCCAGTGTTGGAACATAGGGGGTGGAGATGTGGGTGCTGAGGAGGTTTGTTATTTTGGCGGAGTGGAGTTCAAGTGACAGAGGCTCCGGCTATGACGTATTAATAGCGGAAAAAGATTTCGATTAGGAGGGGGGGGAAGGCGTTATTAGCTTGGTAAGGCGTTTTCGGTTCTAGATGTACGGGATTAGTGGATGGCTGACAAAAGCATTTTCATCGTTGTACCTAGGACGAATTTATTGCAGAATTTGTTCAAAAACATCAGCTTGGACATTTTAAGCTCTTTTTTCACATGTTTCAGGTTTTCGATTCCATGAAACTAACCGGTCGAGGAGTTTCGCTTGTTAATCCTGGCACGACGCAGTTATTATTCATAGTTCTTGTCTAGCTGGCTTGAAACTGACCCCCTTGCAGCAAGATGATGGGTATGTTCTCAGTATTGGTCAAATGTTCTACTATGAAGCGCTTAAACGTTCCAACTCGGATCTCATCAACCGTAAACTCCTGAATCCCACCTGTCTCAAACCCACGCAGCTCTCGGTCGTTCACCTTCCGCTTCCACTACAACCGGCTCCAGAACCACCGGCCGATAGTCTTGCGTTTTCTTTTCTTTTATCTTCCGCCGTTTATCCACCACAATACCAAAAACCGTCGACAACAACGTAAACAATCCCACCAAAAAAGGTGTCAGCTGATTCGTATCCAACCACCTCCACTCCGCCATAACAATCTTATTCCCACGAATAATCATCTCCACAAACCCGATCAGATGTGCCGAAGTGAAAACCAGCCAGCATGCTAGCCTGCGTCGAGGTTTTTCCTGCACCGCCTCCTTTTTCTTTTCTCTTTCTGCCTCCGGATTTCGGACATTTCTCCTCCCACCCCATTCCCGCTTCTTCTTCGGCCCCTCCTTCCAAATCTGCCACCCCGAAAACACGAACAATAAAAACCCGCCGATAAGCACTTCTGAGATGATTGTCACACCCTTTAAAGCCTTAATCCAGCGTTTGTTGTACATATCAAAATACGCATAAAAAAACATCCTGACTCTACAATCCTCTTTCCCTTCTCGCCCCTGCTGCGCTTTTTTCCACGCGAGCCAGGGCAGCGCACAAAGCCCGGCAAACAACACAGTGAACTGCAGTAATGCGGACCACTTATCCTCCTTTATATATCCATTCATAGCAATGCCGGATGGCAGCGCGAGAACGAGGAAGTACACAATTATCCATTCGAGCAGGGCGAGAGAGTTAGATGTCACGTTGGAAATTAGGTGGATGAATATGGCGAGGGAAATGACTGAGATGGCGCGTTGGTTTGCGCGGAATTGAGTGCTGGCACCAAAGAAGACGGCAAGGATGCCCGAGAGGGTGGGGAGGTAGAATGCGAGTCGGACCGGGAGTGCGTAGAGCGTTGGGTCGCCATGGATGGTACAGTTGTGTGGGGAAGGGTCAAAGGAGGTTATCATGTTGCGCTAGTGGGAGGGAGGGATTGGCCCTGAGATCGATCGAGATCTAAGGTCCCAGGTGTGGCAGTTAGGGTATCACGTTTGATTTTGGATGCTGGGGGACGCCTGGGGTTTCCTGCGCTTTTAGAGTATGAGAGGCTGTGTTGTTTTTCTAGCTTCAGCGGACTCTTCGCTTCGTTTAGCGGCTGAAAACCAATACATCGTCGAGGTGGAGATAATAAGCTTTCTTGGCAACACCTGAGAGCCAAGTCGGGCGCATGAGAAGCCACAGTTTGAGTCACTCCGTCTTATGCTTCTTCAGTCGGCGAAGCTAGAGCCAAGAATTGCGGCTGGGGCATGCATTTAGCGATGATGAAAGTGCCTAGACTCGGTTCAGTCTAGGCAATTGTTAATTCCCTCCCTTCAGCCTTGCCGAAACCTTCATAACCTGCTGCAAATGTGCCAAGTCTTTCAAAGGCTCTATCAACCCTTTGCGACTTCCCAAGGACAAGGCCGGAAATCCAGCAATCGTATTTGGCGATGCTGAGACACAAGACTTCGGCTTTGAAGATGCTTGAATGTTCGTCTGGCTTGGCTCTCCGCACTCGTTCACTATCATCTAACTTGTCTGAGATCAAGAGACAGTCGTGAGATATGTTTATCGCACTGGTTCCCTTGATGAGAAGCATGTACTCCCAGCTTCCATCTTTTTGTCCTGACGACAGGAGCGCGGTGAGACAGGGACCATGGATAGTAATTGATGCGTTAGAGACTGCACCAAGTCGATTCAGCCCGACGAGGGAGATATTGCTAGATATCAAAGTGATAGCAGGCTTGAAAGCAGCTCGCTCGTGAGCGTTAGGGGAATAGTAAGAAATCGGAGTGTTAAGAGAAGCCCAAGAGAAGGTTGGGGCACGATAAGTCTCTAAGGCGCACGAAGATGATGTTGCAGAGGGGTCAACGGACCAGAGAAGATCAGAGGCGAGGTTGTCTTTCCAGACACCTGCCAGATAGTCGGATTTCGTGGCTGATTGGATCTGGGAAGCGATACCAGAGAGCGCAGGAAGTTTGTCTGTTTGAACTGTAAGGTTTCTCTTCGAATAAAGTTCTACAACGTGCTGCCAGGCATCCCAAACATCTTCATGTTTCCCACTTTTCTTGGCAATGGCTTTGGGAATCAGCGAAGGAGTTGTGGGATAAGCTTTGCGAGAAGGGAGGCACTCGCAGCGATACGAGGTCTTGCATTCAAAGAGCAGCTCCGTAGAAGTATAGTGGAGGATTCGGGTGCTGAGAACGTGCTCCTGAAGGGCCCAAGCTCGCGTGGTAAGGTGTCCTGTTGGTTTTGCAGGCACGCTCGCTTGGACATCCGGATGGTGATCCACCGTTCTTCTCGCTTGAAGCGCGAATACTTTGCCCGTCGTATTCTCGTAGTTTATCTGTACAGACTTCTGTCGATCCACAAGGCACCTCGAACTTCCATCCCCGGATTGCGTTGCTGAGATAGTCACATAGGATTGAGAGTAGATGCCGCCCATTTTCGCACTCTCGGTTTCCCAGTCTCGTGTTGAGTCTTGAATTATGCAAAGAGAATCTATCCAGATGTAGCGCAAGCCAAGTTGACGTGTTATGATTACTGCATCTTGGAAGAGAGGAGGTAAACGCTCAAACGGGATGTGCGAAGCTAATTTCTGCCAATTGGACTTAGTCGCTGTGAGCACTGGACCGGAACCCCAACAATGCGAAAGAGTGGCATATTGGAATGGTTTGCCGGATGTGTCGATGAGGCGTATGGGAGAAGTTACGCGACCAACGTCAAGTAGACGCTTAGGATGAGGGAATGACGATGAGGCTCTGCAAGCTGTGTGCTTCGGGTTCGTGAGACAATCTTGGATGCAGCGGCGAGCGAAGTTGAAGGTATCATCTGAGCCGGAGTTCGGGGGAATATGGTGGGCGGTACCTAACGTCGGCCAGGGGGGCCGGGATGCTATATGTTGTTAGGATTATATATGTAGTATGCTAGGTTGGAGGTTCTCCGTGAATGAAAAGTGATATTCGATGATGGCCTGAGGAACTGATGCCATAACAAACGGAGTTGATGACGAAAAGGAGCATAGACGAGACGCATGTATTAGAACAGCTGATCCAATTCGTTAAAATGTTTAAAGAAAGCGGAATCCTACCCGACCTAGCATATATCTCTACTTGTTCACCCTTCCACTTCTCCCCTTCACTCCCAACCTTAATATTTCCCTTCTCCTTCAAATCGACGATAATTCTCTGCCGACAGCCCCTCCAGCCTTCAAAGAAACCATCAAGCGCCAGAACTAACACGTGGCAGAACCGGCAGCCTCCGTCTATTGGCGCCTTGGTCCTCTCGAGGCTCAGTGGGTCCAAGACTAATGTTAAGGTGGTAGTGGCACCGTTGGGGGTTTCCGCTTCATACACCGAGCTCGAGTGACTGCGTGGATCAAGGTTGTGGCAGAGACGACACGGCTTGCGCCGTGACTGAGATCTGGATCCTGAGGACTGCCTCTTGGGCTGTCGGAAGGATCTGGGAAGCGGCATGGAGTGCACAGGAGTCAATTCGACTCGGGAAGCGAAACGTTAAGTCCAATATACTTGTTCATCCTACCGCGATGAATTGAACAGGAGGAGATGGGCGATAGTCATCCTAGACTTTTGAAGTTGACATGTGGGACACCATACGTCGGCGCGGTCGGGCCGGAAGAAACAAGGTCTCGGCATTTCTAGCACGCTCGCTTAGATAAGCCAGGGGCTAAGTTGGCGCCGATCCGTGGTCCTAAATTTGAAACGGCGTGGCGGAGCAGGCTTGACCTCTGAAATCCTGACCACCACTCAAAGTCCCGCCAACAACGGTCAATACGAAGCTTAGTTACACTAATTCAATGAAAGGCGGGACGGAAATCATTCCACTATTTTGATGCGGGGATTTCCGATCCTGAACACGAGTGTCTGTTCCAGCAGCTTTTTTGAACGGAGGCTGTGAAAGCTTGACGACAACCATGAACGATCCGCTTGCGTACCTAAATCCAACTCAGCACTTTCTTTGGACTTCAAGGCGGGGGGGTTTCTTTTACCGTGTTTTCTCTACTTACTCCTTGAGTATGCTTTACTTGAAGACTTCCACCACAGTTCAAACGGCAAATTCCTGGTTCTAAAAATGCATTCCGAAGGCTGCAGGAACAGCGCAAATCCCCGCCCCCAAACCTTTGGCTGAACAACTTTAATTTCCCTCCGCATTCACGCCACTCGTGCTTCCATTGGCTATATATTGTCGTGTGGGATCAGGTCCCTGGTTCTGGTTGGAAAGAATGCGATTTACGAAGGTTTTGTGGCGTCATCTTTCTCGCTTGTTGTTCCCCAGACCATGAATGTCAACCACCGTCTCTAGTGGCTGCAGATGGCTTACCTTTCAGCCCGACATGGGGCTAAGGACACGCGATATGGGATTGGTTGAAGTTGTTTTGGTTTTGATGAAGGCTGGGTGGACGTTGGGATCTGGTTGTGAAGAGTTTGCATATTTGGTGGAGGCTAAGCTTGGGCTGGAATCTCCATGGTCGGACAGGTGAGTCGCACTGGAGGGCAAGGCAACAGGAGAGCGATAGTATATATAGCCTTAAGGCCGGCTCCATTCTGGTTTCCTTTTCTTACTGCACAAGACTAAATCTACTCATTTTCTCTCCTGTCAATACAGTCGTTTGAAAACTTCAAACCGAAAAGTCCTTCGTTATCCATCCGAACACCCTAATATAATACCAATATGTTCACCAAACTCTTCGCCGTTGCTGCCCTCAGCGCCTCCGTTCTCGCCAACGACTTCTTCTCTCCAGCCCACTTTGGTGCTATGCAGAAACGACAAGGTGGCTACTACCCGACCACTCACTTCTGCGGTCGCGGTGATACCTGTGCCGAAGCCTGTGGCGCTACATATGTCCAGTGCCCATCTGACGCTGGCATCTACTGCTATGATCCCACTATCGGTGAACATTGCTGCCCCGACGGCACTGGAAGTAAGTCAATACTTGCCCTTTGAAGGAAACCTCGATGTTAATGCATTCACCAGACTCCTGCTCTGCCGGCTATTTCTGCTCCCACGACGGCGCTGGAACAACGTACTGCTGCCCCGACGGCATGGAGCTCAGTGAATGTGCAGCTGCCTACTCGCTCACCGTCTCTCTCATCAAGGAAACTGGCAGTGTTCCTGTGCCCACTGGCGGATCCACCGTCATTCCTGCTTCAACGACTCCTATCCACGTCAGCTACCCGACTGCTGCCCCGAGCACCAAGGTCTACCCAACCGGTAATGCTACATACTCCACCGTGTCACCGCCGCAGTTCACTGGTGCTGCCGCAAAGGTTGTTGGTGGTGGTATGGCAGTGCTTGCAGGTGCTGCTGGTCTTGCTGGTATCTTGTAAGTTTGTGAAGCTGGGATGAATTGTAGCGCTGGGATTCGCCTGGCATGGCGAATGGCGTACGCTATGGATTTAATTTCTATTCTGCATGCCCCTGCGAGGGATAATTCTGCATTTCTCGACCGTCGGTGTTTGGTTATCTGCTGCATAGCCTAGTATTCATCGGATACTTATTACTCAATGCCATCACTTTCTATTTAGTTTCATTTGAAGAGTATCATTTCGTGTCTTCTCGATTTTGTTTGCAGTTGCGTGGGTCTGCAGAACACAACACGTGATACATGTCTCGGGGTAATAACTGGCCGCCTTACCAAAATATTGAACACAGCCTCGTGGCTGCTTTACAGGCTTTCGTATCGGCAAGCCACTTCGTCGACCTCAACCGCCTTAGCTTTCGATATTGATGTGTGGACGGGCTTGGGAAAGGCCTGAACCTGGAAATAGGGCCTCAAAAAACAAGCTAGAAGGCTAAAAATAAAAAGGAAGAGCGTGTGGATAGTGGAGGTATTCTTGCGGGAGGAGATGATTATCTCCTAATTGCAGTAAGCTCACGCCCATATTGACAGGGAAGGGTTGAACTGTGTAGCTTCTTGCTTCAATCAACTTCAAACATTTATATATTTCGATATCAAATCAGTGTTTCAGTATATTCGCTATGTATATATAAAAGCATGGCGAATATCTACAAGGCGTAGCAATCTTCCACGTGATTTAAAGCCGAAACGAGCTACCTGGGTAGCGTGCCAATAACATCATAACTGATCTGGCATTAGGGACGAATTGTAGGGCTGGGTATATAGATACTCATAGTTAATGCGAAGTGGGCAGTATTAAACTTCCTAAAATCGAATTTTCCAAAGGTAAGCATTAGGTCGGGGTACTCAGAACTCGGATTTGGGTGTGATCGACCTTTCCTAGGAGTATTACAGATAAATTCCGTGTGGTGCAGTTCTAGAGAAAGAGTGCTGCGAAAGAAGCGGACAAGGTCGCTAAAATTTGTGCTTTCATGGACATTAGCAACTAAACTTACGCTAAGGAGGGTGAGAGCGAGGTTTGGTCTTCGAAAGGCACTGTGGGACTGGAACCTATATTGCATACTCGACGTGAATGGCTGCGTTCGATGAGCCAATCGGGATCCTTTCCGAAACGACACCAGACCACCGCACGTCGACCATGCGGCTCAGCAACTTAAACAAAGCCTCATCTACCTACACCTTCTTCCGACCACTTCCGCTTTCCATATCTACAACCCTTAGTCCCATTCCCCTCTCCCCAAATATTATCGCTTAAATGGCCTGGGCTCACACTACACGCCTTCCTATCCTAATCTGGTGTCTCTGGGCCTTCCCTTTCACCATCTGGGACACCTTATACCTCCTCCTTCGACCCCACAGCCTCCCAGGCCAAAAATGGCACGACTCCTACTTCTCCCACGTCTTTGCAATATGGGCATCTGTCGACCACATATACGGTGAAGAAGGCTGGCGTAATAAGAGCGGCTTTGTTCTTGCTCAAAGTGCGATTAACGTGACAGAAGCTACGCTCTACATGGTGTATATCTGGATCATCTTGCGATCTGGAAGCCAAATTTCGGCGTCGAAGTGGCGGATTGGCGGGAGGACCGGAGCTTGGGCGGTGTTAGTGGGTGAGGTTGCAGGTTGCGTTACGGCGACCAAGACGGCTATGTACTGTATGTAATGCGAGACTGCATTTAAGCAGCTAATAGATGAAGCTAATAACCTTGTAGTCATGAGGGAGTGCTTCTCGGGGTTCAAGTACACAGGCCATAACGATTGGAGGCCTTTTCTTGTGACTTGGGGAGGCATGAAGTGCGTATTTCGAGGTGGGGAATTGGTACGATACAGAGCTAATTTTGGATTAGTTTGCTGTATATTTCGACATCGATGTATATGATCTGGACGTTTAGTAATGACATCTTAAACGGGCTTGAACGAGCATCGATGGCGAATAGTCGGGAGAGCCAGCCATCTAAGTATAAGAAAGGAGGATAAGTGTTGCACCCACAATCTTCATAAAGAAGCGCTGGAAGCAGCTAAGTACGGAGGTATGTTTGTTTGCCTAGGCAGCAAGAATATGCCGATGGAACCACGCACGCACTTATCTCATACCTTAGGCAATCTTAGCAAAAATCTTAAGAGAAAGCATCAAGAAAATTTAGGAAAGAATGATCTATTAGTTGTAACTCCTGCTAGGTCAACCTTAACAATAACATGCGTAAAGATATACTTACAATGTTTATGGTACTGTTTTATTAGGCGATACATAAAATCGGCCCCGTTATGCGTCAAGATGTAAGCTGTAAGTTATAATTCTTGTTAGTAGATTTGCTTCAGTCGTCCTCAATAATTCTTCCTTCTAATGCGTGTTTAAACATGCCTCGTATTTTAATGATAGTTAAGAAAGGTCTTGCCCTCATGCGCTGTGTAAAAGAGAGAGATAATGAATAGGAAATGTATCTTGATTAGCAAATGATATAGACCATTGGTTATTAGTTAGCTTGTATCGTACCGCCGAGCTTACTTGCTTCGAAGTCTCATAGGCGGGTTATACAAGGGGCAGGTACTGTGCCGAACTCAAATAAGTGACCGCGCCCAGAGCATGTGCATAAGGCTACACATCGCATTGTCTTTCGTTAAAACCATGAACCTGTCCCAGCTGCTGTTGCTTCTTGCACCACTAGCCTGTTCTCATATCGTTCCTGCATCTCACCAGGCAGCACTCGTCAACCTTGACCCGCATTACGAACGCGAAAAGGTACCCGGCGATAACCCAGCATATTTCTCTCGTGAAAAAGCAGCCGATCAGCTCTTCGAGATCACCGAATTCACTGTATCTCCGTATCCACCGATTCTGTAAGTACGACTTCGACATCGTGTGTGACTAGACGCAGCAGACGCTAACCAAGTTATAGAAACCATCGTATTTTCTTCTATCTCTGCGGCGATACGGGGCTCCGTGATTTACTTAGCCCTGGGAACGCGACGGTTAAGTTCTAGGTTAATTAGCTAAACTACGAAGATGAGCCGGAGTACAGGTTTAAGAACAAGATTTCCGAATTTAAATTACTTACCGTAAGGAACGAGGAAGATCTTACGTATGGCGGACCACTAGTCGAGGGCGTTAATGAAATGGTTGGTGATATCTTTCTGTTGCATTTTGGACACGATCCTGGGAATGCGATAGTGGATATTGAAGCAGTAGCCAGGCTGCCGGATGACAGAATATTATTTGCTTTTAAGGCTAGGGTAGAGTATGAGGTGTAACAACGAAAGAATCGATTATGAGCTTGATCTTGTGAGCCTGTTGGAGGGTTAGAGCTTTAGAGAGGCGTAGTGAACGTCGGTTGGGTTGTTTGGCTGATTTCCCATTCCCTACCGTCCATATCGTCTTCTATTTTCTGCGAGCATATCGAATAATGGATGACTTTCCACGAGAAATTCTAGAAGTGAAGCACACCTAAGAGGCATATAACAGCTCATTTGCTACAGCAGATGCAATACGTATAGATATGGATAGAAATGCACTAGCACTACTTACAGGGTGACAAGGGTTTTAGAAAGATGTCCTATAAGATGAGACGGAAATGCGTCCTGTGGGGTAGATGCCGTGCTGCGGCATACGTAGCAGTGGCCATTCTGTTGCTAACGTGCTATTCTAAAGCTCTTTCTACGCCTTGTCTTACTATGCTTGATGGATAATCGTCCAAATGCGGGAATGGTCGACTTGAATAATGTTGAATTGGCAGCTATCAGACACGGCTCAGTTATTGACCTTGCAAGGCTTACATGGATTTCCGTCTGTTACGATGACCGACGGTAGAAGTCTGTAGGTTGTGAAGTCATGCTTAGTGAATATCCTGCAGAAGGTCGACACCTTTACTGGCAGCTGAGTTTCGGAATTGGTTGCATGTTGCCTATTGAAACACCATTAGCAGGTAGAACTTGATCGATGAAAAGACGAAGATTATTGCGGTAGCGGTAAGAGTTGTGGATGATGCGGCTTGGTAATGGCCTTCTATTGTTTCTTGGCATTTTCTAGATTCTCGTCGTAAGGGTCGCTCTAAATAGATCAAATATGGCATACATCCATTTAAACCGGGCCACTTAAGTACCATATATTGATTAGAGCATATATTATAAAGGAAACTCTCTATTCTTTCAAATTTCTCTTGATAATAGGTGAGTGGTGCATATATTAGGTGCTTGCTTCAAGTTCCCTAGAGGTCGTCGACCTCAAAGTTCTGACCTATGGATAAGCCCAGTTTTGGAAGCTGCTGAATGGGATTTTTTTCAATAACGTATTTCGTGCCCACGTATACAGCAGATATCCGTTTTCTTGCACAAGAGGACAAACCTGTTAGGACCGAGAGAAGGGAGGCATATGAGTTACCAAATACTTGGAGAGTGGTTAGCTCCGCCAGTGGTAATCGCTAGTATGAGACCACATAGTCTGTACAGGGATGAAACGATAGGAATATAGAGTAATTGAATGAGATGCAGGGATCAGGTTTGGCGGTGTGGTGATCGAAGGCGGCCGAGCTGCGACAAGTGACTCACATCAGGGATTGTTGTGGCCTAATAGAAGCAGCTGGCGCGGAAGAGGGAGGGCGTATGGAGTGTCGAGAGTAGAGAGAAAGGAAAAGAGTGAGAAGGTGGTAAAAGACGATGGCGAAAGGAGGGCATGTGATGGTAGAGGTTGGGTTGATTCCTGTTCCGGGCGTAGCGCGAAAGCCGGAAGCGAGGCCATGGTTGGCCTTACAAAGGGTGAACACCGGCAGGCAAGCACAAGCTAGCTATCAGTATATTTCTTTATTAACAGCTAATGCAACTTCCTACTGCACTGGTTTTGCTGAAAGCCGAGCTGAATTGGTGAAGAAAAGCTGTGATTCATTGCTCCAATGTTGAGGCTCTGTCGCAGTTTTTGACCACTGAACTTCGACTGCACGCTATGAAAATAGTGCATTTGTCCGTACGCAGCAGCAGCGTCACGGCCTGGATACGAGCGATCGCGCACGAGCAGGATCACGTATCTATGTCACATGATGCTCGTGCGCGAACCTCCGTGCGCGAACATCTAGATATCCCCCTTTTCCTCCGTACGGAGGAAAGACAAGAGCAATAGAACCAGAAACATGTTGCCCTCACCTTACCTACCCCGTACGCTGTGCACACCGTACACCACTCTTACTCTTGCTACTTAAGCGCTCATACCATAAGCAGCTAGCTGAAAGGGCCTATTCAACAGCATTCGAATCAGGATTAATTATTCGACATACTAGACACCAAAAATACAATATGCTGCAGCATGTAGTCTACCTTTGTGTCGTACACCCAGACGTTTGAAGTTCCTCCCCGCTTGTGCTTTCAAAATTGGGCTTAGTTATAGCTCAAAAATTCAGACTAGATTTTCCCTTCTCCGCCGTCTCAAGTGCCGAACATGACCACATGTTACCCCTGCAACACGCACTGCTCCCGAAGCCTCCTCCAATTGCCCCTCGATCCAAAGCGCGGGATCATGGGAGCAATGATCATGGACACACAAATCGTCGGAATTTCAGGACCTCCACACAACTCCACTATCCGGGATCGACCGATGCCATCCGGGGCATAATCGCACTTGCTGTCCTTCATTGAAGAGTCTGCTAAACCTGCTTACGCTCTGGATATTGTTTAAGTTGACAAGATGTTGAACAAGATCGCTCTCGAAGAAGCCTGGAACATTCCCGATGCCGCCTCGTTGGGAGGTTTCCAGCCCGGTTCTCTCGCTCCGAAAGGCGTCATCGGCGGCGACCTCGGCGCGAACCTCCTCGATATCCACGAGACGCGTCTACAACAAATGGACGAGAATGGAGTGGAATTCATGGTCCTGTCTCTCGTCTCTCCGGGGCCGCAAGGGCTTGCTAATAAAGCTGGGGCAGAAAAATTGGCTCAGGTAGCGAACGATAAGATGAGTGAGGCCGTCATGAAGAATCCGACGAGGTTTGCAGGTTTGGTGTCGCTGAGTATGCATGATCCCGCGCAGGCGGGCGAGGAGCTGAAGAGGTGCTGGAATGAATTGGTGGGGTTTGTGGGGGTTATTCTCAATGATTTCCAGTCTGCGGGAACGGATGGCAACACCATGCTCTTCTACGACGACCCAATATACGACATCTTCTGGAAGACTGCCGAGGAGCTGAATGCTCCTGTGTACATCCACCCGCGCTCCGCAACCCCTGAGATTACTGAGAAGATGTGGAAAGGTCGCGAACACCTCGCTTTTTCTACCCTCGGCTACGCAAACCGCGTTAACATGCACCTCCTGGGCATCATAACTGCCGGCGTGCTCGATCGCTTCCCCATGGTCAAACTTGTGGTTGGTCACATGGGTGAGCACATACCCTACGATCTATACCGCATCGACCACAAGCTTAACCGCGCTCGCTTCCCTCAGATGCGTATGCGAAAGGACAAGCTTATTCGCGACTACTTTGGCACGCAAGTCTTCATCACTACATCTGGACATTTTAGCACTGCCGCTCTGCTCTGCGCGATGACTGAAATTGGTACGGAGGCTATTATGTTCAGTATTGACTACCCATTTGAGAGTATTCCGAATGGATGTGTGTGGTTTGATGAGCATGTGAAGGATACGTTGAATGCGCGAGATTTAGTAAGGATTGGCAGAGGGAATGCGTTGAAAGTTTATGAAAGACTGAGGGAAGGAAATGGACCGCATGGTTTGAAGGAGATGACAGCGGCTGAATGTGATGTTGGAGGGCTGAGGATGAAGGATGGAGAAGTGGAATTTGGATTGTATAACAAAGATTGGAGTCGGAGGTTGGTGAAGCAGTGAGGGGCCAGCCCGTGATTGGAATGGCACATTTTGTGAGACTGGATTAGGTGAGGGGTTATCTCCTGAGCCAACCTCAGTTTCCATTATTCGTATCGGACCTCAACCAGGCAATTGCACCAACCATGAAGCCAAGAGTATTATACAAGAGCAATTGCTGGCAGCCATCTGGCTTTATGCACGTACATCAGTAAAGATAACCAGAGCCGGCTAATCCTCGCCCTCTCCTTCAGCATCATCATCCTCATCATCCGCCTCGTCTCCCTCGTCCTCACCCGTCCTCTCCCCCTCCTTACATTCAGTCTCGTCACCACCTCCATCAACATCCCAAGCCCAAATCTTACCCCTCGTCTTCTGTTTCATCCCCTCCGCATCTTCCTCATCCTTCCCATCCTCTTCGATCTCGTTTCCATCACTCCCACTCCCACTCCCACTGTCCCTATTCTTACTACCCACCTCCCTCCTTACGCCCCTCAAAACACCCCAACCCAACTTTTCCCCATAAACATCCCTCGGCCATTCATCCAAAACCACATCCCGTACCTCTCCCTCAGCGTCCACAAATTTCCACACCCCGCGTGCAAGTACCGTCCCCTTCGTCCAGAGCTTCTCAACTTCTTGAGTTGAGCCGAAACTATTGTAGTGCCATTCGCCTGCCTCTCTGCCGGCTTCATCTTCATCTCCCTCTCCATCTTCGTCACTGTGACCGTAGTTGTATCTATGACCAGGGTTATTCCGCTTCAACAGTTGCTTCCGTATCGGCTCCAACCTCTCAATCTCCTTGAAATACATCGTCGTTAGGATCTGATTATATTGATTGATGGTGAGAGATGGATGTGGTAGTGGTTTATGGATTCCAGTGACCCAGGATGGACGGTCTGGGGGGTTGGTGTCGTATTTTAGTGTGGCAAGGGCACGATGTAGGGGTGTTGATGAGAGTGGTGGGAAGGGTTTATGGGGTCCGGGTGGGGTGAGGGATAAGGGCTGGGAGAGACAAGCTTTGTTGTGTTGGTAGCAATGGCTGGTGAATGGCATTCGTCGACCGGCTTGGTGCAGTTTCGATGGTGAGTCGTAGATGCTGTCGGAGAGACGCATGCGTTTGCGGACAGGGGCTGGAGAAGAAGAGCTGCATAGGCTAGATGGATCGAGGTTTTCGATATCGGTGGAATCTTCGACAGGGTGGTCGTCGGTGTCTATGTCAGTTTCCATGTCGTCGACAAGCTCGACTTCCGGAGGTCCACCTTTCTCCTGCTCCTCCTCCTCCTCCTCCTCCTCCACTACCTCCGTTTTCTCTTCGTCTTCTTCGACATCACCACCACCAAGGACTACCATTTCATGTCCACCAGAAACTTCACCCTCGCTATTTCTATCACCACCGCGACCACTACCTCCGACCTTTCCCCCCTCAAGCCACTTCCGAACTTTCATTTTCCGCTCTCGCCCCCTCTTACTAGTCTCCTCCGGTAAACGATCGTATGATACTAGTGTCCTAAACGTCATTAGCACTGCCGGTCTCCTGGTTTGGGCAACCTGGGCAGGGATTGAATACATTGAGGAAAGAGCAAATTCTTACCTCTTCACTCTCATCTTCCTATGAGGTGGGGTTACGGATGGTGGTGTGTTTGCGGGTAGACGCGCATACGGGTAGTGTGATGAGGGCCCGTTGTAATGGGCACGAGATTTGGAACGTGCCATAATACCTCTGCGTTTATCTTCCCGTATCCTTTCGTGTAGAGTCTAAGGTTTAAGGCCGAATGGGTCGTGATTGCGAGTTGATGGGTTGGTGGGGAGTGGATTGTGGTGTTGTTGTGTGATGGGTAGATAGAGCCCACTGTTTTTCGCCGTTTCTGGAGGGTGTGAGTTTGTTTGTGGTGGGTGGCGGGCGAGAAGATTCTGCGCGGCTTGGGAGAGGTTTGGCGGTGAAAGTCCTGGAGGCGTAGAAGGTCTCGTGGCCACGAGTGTGCACAGGTGAGTATTACGCCCACGGCCCGGGTTGCGCTGTAACATTTTCGAAAGTGCAAACGACTGACTATCAGTACGGAAGGTATCTTCTCAGAACAGAGTGATACAAGATCGACCCCAGAGGCTGCTTAGGTGTGGAATATGTCAGGTGATATCTGCCCAATGATTTACTATGCATCCCCTCTACCATCGTGATCCATCGATTTGCCAGCCGCTTGGGGGTTGACACGTAACCGGATTCTCCCAGGACTTTCCAAAGAGACCACCACGCTTGGTTCGTCATCACCGTCGTCATCCTCATACTCATCTTCGGGTGTAGAATCCAAAATGCCCTGCCCATACCAGCGTCGTCCATTGGGTCGAGGCCAAAAGCGACCATATTTCCAAAACGCGAGGAAGCCTAGTAGACAGATTGCTGCTATCGTCCCCAAGGCGATACCAGCTCTTCGGCTCTCGATCCGGGTCGCACGCAACTCTAGGTTAGGTTTAGCAGCTGTAATGTCGAAAACACCGACACCCGTTCGGCAGCTACAGCTTTCATCTTGAAATTCCAGGAAGCAACAGAATGTGTCGTCGCCACAGGGTGTCAATGGACTTGGACCCGATCCACTATTCCAGCTATGCTAGAAGCATATTAGCTACTCTGCTCTACATTCGCAACCAATTCAAAAATGCTTCGAATTTCCACCCTGTTGGACTCACCACACAAACCTCATTACATCCCTCCTCCTTCCAATCAGGCCCTCTACAGGCGCCGCGCCAATAACTTTGGATTAGGTGTTCGGGCTCGATCTGAGAGCGGTGCGAATGCAGGCATAAGGTATCTTTATAACATGTCTCACCTTCACCACAGCACATATTGGAGGTTGGACTGCAGGGGAAGTAGTGTTCTGCTGGGATGCCGTTGGGCCAGTAGCATAGTGTGTGGGCTTTGTGGGCCAAGAGGAGGAGCGCTATGGGGATGAAATAGCTATGAGATGGGAGGTGGGGTTTCATTTTGAGGGTTATTTAGGAATAATATTATTGAACGTGGGGATTGACTCGGACGATGACTTGAGATGGGTAAGATGAAGTTAATAAGGTGACCAGGTGTGGGGCTGTGCTGCGAGTGTGGCGTAAGGCTGAAGCGAAAAGGTCTAGCCGTTTTGGACCAACGAGGTTCAGAGCATATTGAAGTATGGTAGAGATGGCTAGTAGGCTCGTATGATGTATGTGTGGTAGAGAACTGTTGCAAAGTACTATAGCTGTAGCCGTAGCGGGATAGAATCTCCGAGTTTTCAGAGGTTTCGGCCCGTCTATAGTTGCTCGATACCGACACAGCGGCTATCAAAATGGTATCACTAATGTCTCCTTGCACATGGCCTTCCTGATATCTTACATTCTAGTAGAGCGCCTCTTCTACCGTCAAGAATATGTCAACTTCCACTTGATCTCCTGTGTTCTCGGAGAGCACTTGTTTGTAGTCGAATGAACTGGAGAGATATTTGAATCCCTTTCAGAAAGGTGGGAGTCGTTCAGGGTAGATTCTAGATTGAATAAAGCGAATTGCGGCTCATGAATTTTTTCCGCGGTGCCACTAACCCAATTCCGTATCCAGGAGAGATATCTGCCATAAAAGATATTGACTTTAAAAGCATGGTGGAGGCTAGAAGGGGGCTGGGCTTTGTTGGAAAGCATCCATGGTATATATTAATGGTGTTTGTTCTCTAAGAAGTCTATGTGATCATAAATGGTCCTTTAGTAGAAAATATGAAGCCGCTATGATCACAGATGCTCAGAATCATGACAGGGGGAGCGATGGGAGCGACGGGAGTTATAGGAAGCAGGGATAAAGCTTAACCGAGCTGGTTGGGAACTATGTAACGAAGGCGAGAGAACTCATCATGGAGACCTTGCCAAAGTCTAGAAGTATCATTGCAATTTAGCGTACGGATGGCAAGCTGACTATCGGGGTAGGCCAAACTCACTTCCATCTTATTACCTCAACTTGTTAGGCAGCAGGCTCCGAACTCCGAATACAAGTTTGGTTGGCTGCTTGTGGAGATCCAGCATGCGGTCAACTTTCCTTTCGACCTTTGGTTGCTGACCGGCTATTTTTGCGTCTAAATTACCTACGGGCCGCTTCTTTGGCATCATTCTTCCAAAATTTGAGAATGTTCAATAGTCTCACCTGCATTCATCCCTCGACTATGCAATGTCGGTAGTAATGTCTCTAGCAGCAAACAGTGAAAAGCGAATGGTTTGGACAAAGTAAATGCCTGAACCAGAGGGAGGCTAGCCGTGCCACAATAAGTTACAACATTGAAGGCTAGGAATTTGATTCCTGGATTTTTTGAAAACTAGCTGGGAATGCGATACCAGAACGAACTGGTATTCTATAGATGCATCTAAGATGCCCGCGAATGTGGAAATACTTCAGCGGTTTGGCCAAATATAAAAAGAGTATCCGTGTTTTAGTGCTTTCCAAGTAACCAGGGGAAATGAATGTTCGAAGATCCGGATAGATGAAAGCCAAGAGTGATGGATTGGAAGCCAATAACAACACCACGTGCTGGTCGCGGATAACCACCAACTAATCCAGCGATAAAAAAGAAGCGTAGGATTTGGCCTATGTATTCTGTGGTCTCGTTTCATTCGAACCATTATCCACCTGGCACTGAGTTCCAATTAAGGAACGTGGCAAAAGGACCGTATCTAGTTCACAATCTCGAAGTCGGTTCCATCCGGCGAATACCTTGTGCGTGCTGAGCAAATCATTATCTATGAAGCTCATGTAGGAATGGCACAATGGTAGACGGAATGGGCCGAGTTGAAGATCTCCGACGGGCAGGAGAGGAAGTCCCTTGCCCGCGGTCAGCATCCTGGGGTTTTACAATGCAAATGATCCCAGAATTTCGTTTAACAAGTGGAACAGTCCCACTTGTTACACTATGCCTAGTTCGAAGGGTTTGTTCAGTTAGAAAGAGAATAGAACATGGAAAGGTAGTCTAGGGTCGTGACCTTATTCATGCGGGTTTCGAGAGAATTTTAGTCATATTAGGGATTCTCTCTTATACTGGGCTACACCATCTCAATGCTCAAGCTCTCATTCGTTCCTGGCACGAGGCTCAATTCAAGGTTTTTGTTCTTTTTGAGGTAACAAGCCAGCTGCGTGGCACTCGACATCTTGCAGGACTTCGCCTATGATATAAATGCTTTCAGAATCCACTCCACTCTAAGGGCCAATATCTAGCGCGAGGGGTAGTAAGATGAGGAATGATGGAATGAAGTGTTAAGGTGAAAGTTAGTGGTGTTGGTCGATGTTGAAGGGATAGCAGGCTCGGCAAGTGGCGGAATTTCCCGCCTTGGCTCTGTCTCGAGCTCACCCGAGAACCTCACCACGAACTCGTTCACAGAGCTGTCGCCCTGCTGCACCACCACCATCACCAATTGACCTATCTGCACTTGTTTTCCGCATAACCGCCAGTTAGGTGCTCAAGATGGCGTCGAAGAAGGCCGTGCAGACCTTCCAAGTATGTCAAATGGCTCACTCATCACCCCTCCCTCCCACCGCAATGTTGACTTCCGACCAACCATGCTCACTACGTACTCGCAGAAATACACAGTACAACCTAAAGGGTTATCCGGCCTCATCTACCGCATCTTCAGCATTGACCCCAAACGTTCCTCGGGTGTACCTCTAAACCCCCAATTCCGTAATCCGCCGCCGGGTGCTCAGGACCCAGCTGGCTATGACGACCCGGTCACTGTCCCCGCTGCCGATCTGGCCGGGAATCCATACTGGAAGCGCGATGTGCGACGCCGATACCCACAGCTCTCGACGGTAACGCAGGCAGATGCAGTTGCATTGTTGGAGGTTGGAAGTGCCGTAAACCCGAAACAGGATCTAATTGGAGAGGCGGGCACAAAGCAATTGGTCGCTGCAAGGGAAGAGGGTATCAAAGGACTAACCGCTGCATTTGAGAAGAATACTGGGCTGGCAAAGGATGTGCTCGGCCCTGGAGGAATGCCACCCCTACCAACCGGACACTACCCGGCCGTGGTCACGGGGCAGAAAAGATACGAGCTGGACCAGGAGCAGAGCTATAGCGCAGAGTATGTACACGCACCTAGACTCTGTCTGATCCTTCCATTCGCATGAAAGCGTTTGCTGACCTGTGATAGCTACCCTTGCAGGACGTTTACATGAGCGATTGGAGGCATTCTAAGACGAGAGATCCAATATAGTGAACACATCTCGAGCAGCCAGTGTACATAGGTAGAATACGCTGCTTTTCTTTTGCGATCCATATTGTACGGGTGATGATAACCTGCGGGCGTGTTACAGCGAACTTGAGGCTTATCTCTAAGGCTAAGCCCAAAGGTGAGTCCTACGTGTGATTAAGAGCGTAAACTGTTCACCATTCAACTTCCTCCCCAACGACGCGTCTCCCCACAGCACACCCGCTCAATATTCTGGCTTGCTTTATTTTTCTAAACGCGCATTTGTTAAGCACGTGCGTGGCCTTCACCGTCGTTGGAGTGGTTGCCAGTTGCGCGGGGTCTTGGCGCTCGCCGACGACACTTTCTCTTTTCATCGCGTCGTCGCCTACCTCAATCTCTACACGTCATGCTTCCTCTTTATCCCTCCGAGGTGCCTGGTCCTCCGATGGACATGGAGAGCTTCACGAAGGCGCATCCCGACCCCGAGGGTATCACCCCCCTTGATGTTATTTTTTCCTGCTGTGTCTGCCACGCTACATTCTCCGAGGTCTACGATGGATGCTCCACTGTCCAAGGCCTCTCCGACGGCATTAACCCAAAGGAGCGCCTCGTCACGAAGCTCTGGCTCTCTAGCTGTTGCCATGTCATCTGCAGCAAGCACCTCGAAGGTGGCGGTAAGTTGACCCTCCTGCTGGTGCTCAATCGGACAAGACACTGAAGCGCCAACTCCTTTAGCCCCGCCTTTTCACCCCGCAGGAACCCGACCGCGCGCGCCATGTCCAGTGTGTGCGCAGGAGAGGGGCGAGGACCGACCTCGCGAGCTGTACTCGGTCCGTGGCTTCACCGAGGGCGAGTTCGACAGCGCTATACCAGCTTGCTGGTTCACGACCCCCCCAATCAAGCTGGATGCGGCCGGAAAGGAAATGGAGGCTCTGAGAGTAAGCAACCACGCGACTCCGATGCTTCATCTTGATTGACCTCAACAGTTTCAATATCTATCCCTCGTTCGCTATGCGAAGCAGCTCACTGGAGATCATAAAGAAGCCAAGGGGAAGTTAGATGAGGCCCAAAACAGTGTCATGTGTCTCCAAAGGCTTAGAGCAGAGGAACAGACCAAGCTTTCAACCTTAGAAGAAGAGAACGAGCGATTACACGCCATGGAGCCTGAGTTGCAGAAGTTCAAGATGAGGATGCCTGCGATCGAGCACTACTTGAAGCAGATCCCGCGCATGGTTGAGTACGTTTCAATGATGCACTGGCTTTAGCATGCACAGCAACTGATATTTGAAGGCAAAACGAGCAGATGAAAGGACAGCTTGCGTCGCTTGGCTACTACATACCAGCCGAGACATTCGCTTATCACAAGGCGCCATATCCCTTCGATGAGAACGATAATGTTATTGCAGACGCCTTCGGGCAACCCATGGATTCATCTTTGAAGCGGACAGCTTCAAGCCACACGGCAGGACGTTCATTAGTGACCATCGAGGCAAGGAACTCTGTGGATGTTCCGCTCTCTTCCAGCCCTCAGGCACGGCCAGCCAAGAGACAGAAACCTAACTCTGGATCCACTGAACAAAATATTCATGCTCCGCCACCATCCAGACAGAAGCTTCATAGTCGTGACTTGATGCCTCCTCCAAGTGGACCACTTTCGAAGATGAAATCCATGAGGAGGCTTTGGCCTTTGCGCAAGAAGTCACCAAATATCTCGCTGCCATCTCCTGCCCTTGATAGTCAAGGCTCTACAGGAGACGTACAGATGTACGACAATGGGCACTGGGAACATGTTCAGCCGGTATTACACGCCAACGTTGCCGCCGACGACCGGCCACCGACGCGTCATGGATACCAGTATGATGGGACACCTTACATGACGGGGGCATTACCGGACGGCCACTCCCCCTATCCTACCAATTCACCAAACCAACACCAAGAATCAATCGGAACTATGGTCGAAGATGCACATCACCCCACCACCACGGGACCTTTAGGTCCGTCAGGTGGTCTGCCAAGCGAGCCATCCTATATTCGTCTGATGGATGGCCTGTCCTGTGATACCAGGCTGGAATTGGAGCTTCGGGACCCTCGCTCCAAGAGATCCGGGCAATCTCACACGAACGCCGGGTTTGGACAGCATTTTGGCGCAACTAGAGGTCAGACTCTTCCTCACAACCATGCTGGACAACAGCAAATTAGGTTCGGGCACGCGTTCCCCAATCAATCGCCGAATGCCCCTTTCTCTCCAGCATGGCGAAATCGCCATCCCGATCCTCTCCGGTCAAATCCTCCACATGTCTTCGTTAAAAGACCTATTACCCGACCTTCGGTAAATCCTATCACACCAGCACCCCTGCGTTTTCAACAACCGGCTGAACGAGCCGAGAGTGTAGTGAGTCCCTTCTTTAAAAATTGTGATCGTAATGCGCAAGTATATTCAAGAGCTGGAGTTAATGACCGTGTTGCCAGTTCACAACCTTCCGGAGGTTATCACTCTCACGTGGCCAGGGTGGCCTCGGCTCAGGCAGACTGGCATGAACCACGAAGTCTGAATGGCTTGTCGTTCTTTAATTCGCCGCGTAATACTAGGAATGAACCAATTCCCTACGATTCTGGATATGGCGGGTCCGGTCATTTTGTACCATCAGAACCGCATTATGCATCTGGAAATATCGACGGCCGAGGCTTCATCAGGAGGCAAGATGCACGAATTTCGCCCTACAGAAGTGGGAGCGCATATGCGTCCTCTTTTAATCGTCCATGTTATCCCCAGCAAGAAAAAGCGCTTCCTCCATTGCGGCTTCCTTCCCTTAATCGACCATCGCATTCACGAGCCGTTCCTCTCCCGTCTGCCATGCCGTCCATTGTCTCTAGCCACCGGACCTCGGTCCGTTCGTCCAGGTCACAGTGGGATGAACAAGCGTCGACAGGTGCGAGGAGCGGCCAACATTCACGGCCGCATATCCCGGGAAACACATTTGTGACCTCAAGAAACATTTTCTCCAGTGCCGGGCGTCGTAGTGTTCGTCGATGAGTCTACGTTGATTAGTGTCATGCTTATGAACGACCCGCTTCCAATTTTTGCCATCTCTGTCTTGCGTTCTATGGCACCAATTCCCCCACTAATAATTGACTCTCACCCGATGAGCCCCTGAGGATTGTGTTGAGTCTTCCACGTACGTCGCTATCCAGCTAGACTATTCTGGGAAGACTACCTGGGTGGTCATCAATGCACAGTTGTATTTGGCGGGTCTTGTATGTAGGGCAGTATTCTGTCTGTGTCTTCTCTAGTCCTTCACCCTGCTCAATATACCCACTCCACCTTTGGCTTCGAAGGCGATTGCGATGTGATATTGATCGATCGAGTCTTGCCCTAATGTAGAACGGAAGGGCAGAGTTATTACTTGTACAACGGTCCGACATCCGGTACCGGGTAAACAAGAGTCTAAATGGGCACACCTCAACTCTTCGGGCAGGTTTCTAGAAGCTAATAATTTATTCAATATGCGGCAAACATGTAAGGACGTTCTGGAGACAGTTCATTCAATCTCGAGTGTCGCGAGCTGATTGGTCAATAGATTGCGCTTTTCTCATTCCACGATCGCGCCGTAAATCTCGCCTGCCATTTTGGCGCAGCGTCACCGTTAGCCTTATGTTTCAAGCTCGTCGTTCCGTTTCGTTTGGCCACTTCCACGAATCGCGATCCTGGAGGTAAATTACCATACCCCGCAAAACACCTCGGTGTCTCTCCACCACTAGCGTTCCCTTCTTTGTTTGACATCCTTAATATCCACATGCAATTTATTCTCCGTCGAGGCTCGACTTTTGCAGATTAGCGACTTCTCCAACCAGGTTGAGTTTGATTGTGAGCAATGAGCACCGGGTCGTCGGTACCCTCTAGGGAAAATTCAGAGCGGAGACGGAGTGTCCGCAGTGCTTAGGTGGAAATGAGGTTGAGGCTCGTGGTGCGATGGCCTTTTTGATATATAAAAGTGCAGGTTCCCCTCGTAGGGTAGGGAAAGCAGGGAAGTACTCTAGACAGTGCACTCCTTCGACTACTGTCCCTCCTTTCGACCTTTCTAATTTTTCAATATGCTTTTGAAGAATCTTTTCGTTGTTGCAGCATTAGCTGTGTCTGCCATCGCGGCGCCGACAGAGGGGAAGAGGCAGACGAGTACAAGAAAATTGAAGTGGTTCGGTATTAACGAGTCGGGTGCCGAGTTTGGAGAGAAAAATTTCACCGGTGTATATGGAAGAGAGTACATCTGGTATGATTTGGCAACTGTGGATGTATGTCCTCTATATCCTTTCCGCGGCCCCGTTCCTTCCACCGCAAAGCCAATGCATAAACATGCGGACGGGTGCTAATACAATACTTTTTGTTCTCAGAAATTCATAGCCCAGGGCATGAACATGTTTCGCCTTAACTTCCTTATGGAACGTCTTACACCGAACTCTCTCACCGCATCCTTCGACCCACTCTACATGGGCAACCTTACCGCGCAGGTCAACTACATCACCTCCAAAGGCGCTTACGCCATGATCCAACCACACAACTACGGACGCTTTTACGGGGAAATCATCACCGACACCGCAGGCTTCAAGACATGGTGGCAGAACGTCGCGGCGAAATTTAAAGACAACGACCTCGTTGTCTTCGACACGAATAACGAGTACCACGATATGGATCAGACGCTCGTCTTCAACCTGAACCAAGCTGCTATCGATGGCATTCGTGCAGCAGGCGCAAAGCAAATCATCACTCCTGAAGGCAACTCCTGGTCCGGGGCTTGGACCTGGGTATCGTCTGGAAACGGCGCATCCCTTGTCTCCCTTAAGGACCCAGAGAATAAACTCGTCTACCAAATGCACCAATATCTTGACTCCGACGGCTCAGGCTCACACGCCGATTGCGTTTCCACAACCATCCTCTCCGAACGCCTGAAAGCCGCAACCCAGTGGCTCAAAGACAACAAGAAGATCGGCGTGATCGGCGAATACGCTGGCGGCAACAACACGCAGTGTATCACCGCACTGAAAGATGGTCTCGCCTACCTTGGCCAGAACTCAGACGTCTGGATGGGCGCGCTTTGGTGGGCGGCTGGGCCTTGGTGGGGTGATTATATGTATAGCATGGAGCCAGAGAGTGGGCCTGCATGGAAGATGGTACTGCCGGAGATTAAGGGGAGTTTCTTTGGAAGCGCCAGTCCGACGTCTACGGCTGCGACTTCGGCGGCGCCTACGGCTACGAAGGGTGCGAGTACGGGGACTGTGGCGCATTATGGACAGTGTGGTGGAATCGGGTATACGGGGGCTACGCAGGTGAGTTTTTTTTTTAGTGTTTTGATGGTTTTGCAACGTTTGGAGAATACTGGCTAACTAGTTGGATAGTGCGTTTCCGGGTTTACTTGCAACAAGTTGAATGATTACTACTCGCAATGTCTGTAGGAGAACTGTCCAGATTGGTGCGGAAACGGCCCTGGCTGGTATTGCTCTGGGTTTCGTGGCTTGGGGAATTGATTGGTGTTTTGACCTTGTAAATATCTCCTTCAATATTTCTATTTCGTTAATATCCCCTTCACCCCCTCCGTCTTTATCGCTACGTCAATCCTCCATTATCGTACTCTTCTCCGCATCGGCTCTCTCCTATCCCTCTCCCTTCCCTAACCCCTGCTCCTTCCCCGTCATGGCTTCCCTTCCCAAGCCCTCGTCAAATACTCCTCTGCGCTCCAAAAGTTATACTCCGGAAACCTTTCATTCCACTCCCCACTAACATCCCACGCACCCCTCGCAATTCCTTGCAAAAACATTGTCACAAAGACTCGACTATAGGCCTCCCTCTTGCCCTCTGGAATAATTGGATGACTCATCCTCGGCACCCAAGTCGTTTTCAACCGCTCCCCTAACCCCTCACCCTCTGTTGCGTCTAGGTCTTCACTGTTGACGTACTCAATCGTCCACCTTCCACCACGCAATTTCTTTCCCAGTGCAATGAGTTCGTTGATAGAGGTTTGAGTGCCGCGGATTCCACCAACGGGGGGCCACGGGCGGGGGTCAGAGAGGGCAAGGGTGATGATCGAGGAGATGTCGGAGATGGCGGTTAGGATTATTGGTTGGTCACCCGAGTCCAGGATTATGGCGTGCCGGGACGAGAAGTCGATAAAGAAGGGCCAAGTGTGCAGGGAGGTGGAAGGGGGAAGCGGGTGCGGGTGCGCGAAGTAGTCGAGGAAGAGCGAGGGTTGAACCAGGGTGTATTCAAGAACCTGTAGATTTATGAGAGGTGGGAAGGAGGAAGTTAGAGGTAGGAGATGGGGGGATGGATGTGGATGGAGGGGGAATAGGAGGGGAAAAGGGGGTTCGCGTACCTTTTTGTCTTTGTTGAGTTCTTTGAGATATTCTGCAATGTCATCTTTCGGTTTGTAGGGAGGAATGCCGCTTCCATTCTTGCTGAACCAAAACTGTTAGCGTCAAATATTATCTAACCTCAATCTAGTCTCCAATGGCCTCTCACCCAAAACCTCTTTCTCTCTACCTAACCCTCTAACCCAGTCCCAGCTCTAAACATAAAAAACGATACTCACACCCCCCACTCACTTGGTGCAAACCTCTTAACCCCAGCCTGCACACATGCATCTATCAAATTTTTCTGAACGCGCAATCCAGACTGGTCTTGCGAAACCAGGAAACTCAACACGACCTCGAAGCCTGTGAGTACAGTGACTAAACTGGGGACGTCGTTATAGTCGATAACTTTATATGTTAGCGCCGGATTGGCGTGGGGGGGCGAAATGGGTTTGCGGGTTAGAATCGTAATGGTGTGAAGGTTGGAGGCGATTATGGAGCGGAGAATTTCGGTTGCAACGTCTATGGGAGGTGTCGTTAGTGTTATTAGTGCTGTTAGCGGGATTTCGGGTGTGTCCAAGATATTGTATCCTGAAGGCTGTAGGGATTCGGAGTGGGCAAGGGGGTTGACTTACTTCCAGTGCCGCCTGCAACGGCGAGGTTGACCATTCTAACTAACCGGTTCTTTTACAACAACAAAATTTGGTGTACAACAAGGACACTGAAACAGAGTAAAAAGGAATCTTGGAGGTTGCGTTCAGCTGCCATCTCGTACTCCCCACATTCTTATTCTATCTTTGGTATAGCCGGTCCGCTCTTCGGCCCTTTCGGAAGCCATCTTCCGCTCCACATCGTTGTCCGGTGTTTGCATTTCCGGACATCATTTTAATGAAATCCGTTTGTCGTTGCTTCCATTATGGGAGCGGATATGAAGAAATTGTGACAGGTGCTTCCGGTGAACTAAAGGTTACGGAGGGGATGATATCTATCATTAAAATTATGTGGAGTTAAAGGACATGTGTGGGGAGAATCAATGGCCACCGCATTGTCGAGGTTTGGCAGTGGAGGGTTTATATTGAGTTGTTTGACTAGGAAGTGAAAGCTCTCACTAGATGAATGGTGATGTTACACAAGATTTGAATTGAGAGTTAATGATTGGAGGGCCAGTCTAACCACGTGACCATCCCTTTGTTGGTCTTGTTGGACCTTGCTTATGATTTTAATTTATTAATTGAAAGACATGCCTTATTGAACTGTATTCATTTTTCTGAAAATAGCTGTTGATTGCCACCTCAGAGGGCACGACTGTTCAACGTGTGCAATGACCAGGAAACATCTCAAGACCACAATCACAGCCTCAAGCTTCACCTACATATCAAATTCAAACTCACGTCCAAACAAGCAGCAACCTTCGCCCCCACATTTCTCCACACACCCAGCTCCCTGCGCTCTTCAGGATCCGTTCCTTATCAATCGACCAATGAGACGAACTCACAGCCACAAATCCTTCACTGCGCCACATGACCTTTTCATTTTATTCCTGTGGATTGGTGCATGCATGACTACTGTCACAAGGCTGTTCGCAGGATTCTCCCAAGACTGGCTTAGGATTCTCCCAAGGGTGGCTTAGACGTCAAAGGTCCGGGAAGGCAACCTTGGTGCTCTCGGCCCAGTCAAACGGAGGAGTATGCTTGCTTGCCTGCTTACTTCGGTTAAGGATGATTTCACGGTTAGGATCCTATACCCTACACATCTCGATAGCCTGCAAGCACATTAACCTCAAACTTCCACACGAACACGGGTTTACAGCAGACAGACAGAGGGAGTCGACATAACACAGCCACAAGCACCCAATCCTTCACCACTCCACAATATATCATCCACTATCTGGCCTGCCAGAACAGCATAATCAGCGACCACACTCAACAAATTCGTCTACTTGATATACTATCGTCATAAATACCTTCTCAAGATCGTCGTCACAGAATTTGTGAATCCTTACTATCAGCGGAAATGGGTCTTACAGCCTTCCTCAAAAGCCTTAAACCAAGGAAACTGAATCCGTCTACAGCAGACCAGAGCGTCTTAACACCATCTCCCTCTGGTCCAATCTCCAACTCTAGCCCTAGCTATGTCAATGATAATAGAGAACTCCATTCCACCTCCAATTTCCCCACGGCGGCAACCACAACCACGGCTGCTACGGCCTCCACCTCCACCCACACTCCAGTCGTCCCGCAGAAACTAGTTTTCGATGTGACAGGAAAGCAACTATCAGGTCCAAAATACACGCCTCCAGATCCGAACGCAACTGAGGAGGAGAAGGCAGCTCGGGCGATAGAAGATGAGCAGCGGAGGATGGCTATGCGACAGTATTTGAGGGACCATAGGGATAAGGGTGGATTTTTTATGTCTTAGAGGAAGAAGGACATGGAGGAGGTGTGGAGGACCTAGCGCTGGTTTTTGTGTTACTTAGGGGGGGGAGAGATTTCGGTTCACTAGGAGTGGGAAGGAATGAATGTGCACTATACTTCCTAGACCTGGGTATGATATTGCAGCAGTGGGTTCGTGTTCACTACTATTCAAAAATGCGAGTGCCGGTTGTTTCGAATCGCGAATTTTGTCTCCATAGACATCCATATTTCAACCAGAATGGTGTCACCAGAAGCTTCTTGATTCACTGCAGGTCGTCTTTCGCAAGTCTCATCTCCTTGACTCAAGATTCCGCACCCATAACCCGATGAACATGAGTCTGGTCCAAGATTTAGAATCTGCTCATCTCAGGTGCAAGTTATCCAGCAGAATCTCTATTCACATTCCTCGGTACGAACACAGCATAGCCGCCCAACAACGTGGTTTATTTCCGACTCTTGCTCCCATCGGCCGAAGCCGAAAAATCCATTCAACGCGGAGCAACAACGAGATTCTAGAAGATCCAATTAATCATGTTCTAGATCTCGGTCGCAATGTCTCTCTCGGTTGTGTGAGGCAGACAAGTGCTTAGCTCCATCTCGAGCCTTTGTCCAACAGGAGCGCTGGGCGTTTTAAATAAACGCTGGCTCGAATTCCGTGACCCTAATTGTACGTGCCTAATGATCTTGTTCATTATCAGTTGAAGTTTTCTGTGGCCAGAAAAGATGTGAATCAAGCGGTGAATCTATTTTAGCTTCCAAAAATTCGGAGAATGCCCCTGAACCACCCAGGGTCTTTTCTTTATGATATGCAGGGACTAAAAGGCTCCATCAACATATTCTCGATACTTCCAACTCGCTGGTGGGCCGATATAGTCGATACGGCTGTCCCACTTCCCAAAACACACTACCTCTGTCACTCTTGGGCTGATAATCTTGTAACACTGGCGCCCCTGGTGTTACTGTCGCACATGCATTTATCCGCCAAAATATATTTTCTGCCATGGTTCGTAAAGGGTTGACCTTTGCCACTTGCAACAGTTACCGTTCATTTGAAGGCGTCCACGCTGCGTATGGTCATTGTAGAACATCAGCCGCAGCGTGGCCAACAGTACGTAGTACGTTACGTTTGAGCTTTTTTCTGCCAGTAACTTCTCAATTTAGTAGTACTTTTGTACGTAAGCAGTGAATTAATTAGCAAGTACGTAACGTAACAGTAACTTCTTAAAATCCTTATACTTTTGTACTTTTCGCAAGAAGTTTTGTCGGTCTGGGTCAAAATTGTTCCAGGAGAAGCTTTTTGGCCTGGATAAAGTCCCCTAGAGTAGTTAATTCACTCTCTACAGCCCTATGACGTAACTAGTTCTTTTAGAGCTGCAGAGCCTTAATTATACAACCTGCTAAGCAGTTTCTATTAATTATAACTGTCCTCCTGCCTCTAGAGAAGGCTCTCTTACAGTTGCAGCTTGTTAAGGGTATACAGAGGAAATTAAGCGTAGGGTAGGAGTAACAACTAACTTTAAGCTACTAAGTAAGAGGCAATTAGAATAGCAGAGATCCCTCCTTAGCTACAGAGAGGTCTCTAATGTAGCTGTTATAGTATTATTAAACGCTAGTAAAGTTTATTTTTATAGGGGGCCATTTAGCACACTAATTAGGCTACTGTGCTATAAAACACAGAGTTTTATCTAATTCTTACTCTAAAACGCAACCTTAAACAAAGCTCCCAACGCGATGGCTAATAGGGTCTAAAAACAGGAGGGAAATCTCCCAAAATATGACCTCTCTGACCCGTACTACGGGACGTACTTGGCAATTCACTGTACAAAAGTTACGTCTCACATTTTGACTACTTTTGTACGCCTCACGTGATTACTACGTTCACGTAGTTACGTTACGTACTACGGACTGTTGGCCACGCTGATCAGCCGGTATCCCGGCAACGGCTTCATAGGCGGACACGGTGTGTTTCCATCACTGATGCCGTTCTTGCTGAGGAATGCCTAGGTTGGTATTCATATGGGCTGGAGTGCATAGAAATGCGGACTTCCGCATGATAATTCTCGTAACAATACTTACCGTTACAACGCTCAGGAAGGGACGTAGAAGACAGTAAGAACAGTAATACAAGGACAAAGAAATATCGATGAAACGAGCGCTCCTACAAGCGTATTGTGCGCTCCCAGCGGCTCCAGGAACGGTAGTGGCATTAAAGAGCTGCAAAGATCAGTCGTTTTCACCTTAGAGTGATTTGTCAGCTGGAGTGCTCATCTAACTCCGGACTGTACAATCAACTTTGGACTCAGCTTCCCACACTATTATAAGTGTTTTACAGAACATCCGAACCTCAGTCCGTAATACACTACTTCTTTCATAAATTATGACCCTGGAAGATTGCAATTATAAGCCTGGACATTGCTTTAAACCTCCATTTTTGCTCAATTCACCCCGCATATCAGAGTACGATGCACAATAAAGAACTAACCTTGAATTTTGGCTATTGAGATGAGAGGTGTGACAACTTACGTGCATATATGTACAGCGATTTGACATGCAACTACACGCAAATTGTCTCAGCTAATAGCAAATATGTTTCAACCCCCTCTAAAAAAAAAGATGGCTATGTAATGGGTTTGAGTAGCATTATTTAGACTGCCCAACTTATTCCGAGCACTGCCAGTCCTAATTACAGCAAGACCCAGGGTAGATATCAGGGGGTTACCAGCGACATGTCAGGGCCCGATGGTGGAAAACCATGGGCTTTTACCATCGCTAACATCCCCCAGTTCACATTTAAGTAGATAGAGTTAGGCTGCACAAGCGAGTAAAGTTCCAATACCCGGGACGTAGATTAGGGTGTCCCATACTATATCTACCAACGAAATGCTCAGAAACAGTCTAGATTCTGTTTGTAGCATTTCTTGACACCATATTTCCCTCTCAGTATCATCATGCTCAATGGTTCCTCGCTAGTCATCGCTGCTTTCTCAATTTCCTTTGCTTTCCATCCCCTTACCTTTCCTGCTTGGGTCACTCGTCTTGCTACTATCTGCTTCAGTTTCCTTCGTCGCTTTCCTCTTCAAATTTTCTCCATCATTTTCCTTCTCATATTCCCTGGCAGATATATATATATATTTTTTGGACTTACGCTTCGCCTTAGCCTTCTTTCGCTCGGCTCTGGAAGAATCTGCACTCCATCCCTCGCTCCTGAACTCAGACAACTTTTCTTCCTCCACTACCACTACTCGTTTTAATTTCGTGCCTGGCAGAGGTTGGACCCTACGGACTGTGTCAAACCTCAGTTCAGAAGGATGTTATGATTCATTTGTGAATAACACGCTGCCTTAGGTCCTTGATGAATTTTTTCAACTCGCTCTAGATTGTGGCTTGGGAGGTTTAGAGTCGAGGGTTGGGAGCCTTAAAATAGAAAGGTCCCGCCGCGGTTCGACCTACCCCGGGCCGCGTTATCAGCCACCCGTCCGTCTTCAACGCCCGCGCCGCGTCGCAACTCAGCAACCACTCCCATCCGCGCGATGCGACCCGTTCGGTTGATACTGCTTGCGGGCGCTCTTTCGAGTGTTGTTACCGCTGCCGAAGACGCGATCAGTGGCAGCCCGATCCCCTCATGCGCGCAATGGCGCGACTCGGCGCCAGATGCCTGTCTGCAGCCTCTGGACGCAGTTACGACTGTAGTCGCTGGTTCTTACTATGTTGCAAAGCTGCCATGTCTGGATTGTCCCACTCTGGAATATACGGGGAATGGACCAACCCGGAAACACTTCATCACGCAGAAGGAGAATAGCTTGGTGAGCTTGCGGACGTTCCTAATCCCCTCCTCCGCACACGTCATTCTACTTTGGTACTGATTCCGGGCGGAAAATAGCTCTACAATATATCGCTCTCCCGCGACCGACACGATCTGCTCCTTAATTCAATGTCCATCACCCCTCCTCTCTCTCTCCGCTCCAACGGCGAACCCCCACAAGTCTACGTCCCGCAAGTCAATCCCAACTTTAGTCGCGCAGATTTAGACACGTCTATTGCGTGTGTAGGAATGCCATGCAACGATTATAGTGGAGCATGCTTCTGCTTGGAGCCAAGCAATAGTCTCGTCAGCCTGGACTACGATTACGCCGCATCCGAAATGGAATCCGATGAGACAACAGCAAGTTGGAAGATTACATTCGATGCGATTGGTGGACAGGACGGATATATGGATGACCCGGACTGGGTGTTCAATAGTACCGCACAGCAAATGCTGCAGATTACCATCCAGGGGACTATCGACTCGGTCCATGATGCGGAGGACAACGAGGTAGTGCAGGCTTCATCAACCCTCTTCGGCGCAGTCGAGGCGCAACCAAAGCCACGGTATACTTTCGAAATAGTCGACGTGCAGCTAGTGGGGCGCAGTTACATGTTCACATCACCCCATCGCTCTTTGTGGGACAGAATCCGCTTCTTCTTCGGCTTCGAGACACGGCGTCCAGACGGCCATATAATCTACCGAGAGAGAGAGTGGAGCTGGGCGAAGAAGGGAACACTCAAGAACGGCCTCCTCACCATCTGGAATGACTGGGACTGGACTCTCATGATCATCATTGTATTCAGCATCCTTGGCGGAGTCGTTGCGCTCTATGGGCTATATCTCCTGGCCAAGGCCATCATGCTACAACACGAGCTTGCAAGCAGTGGAGGCATGGATGAGGTATGGCGGCATATCCGCCGAGGGAGAGATGACGACGAAGAAGAGGGCCTCCTCGATGGACAAGAAGACGACGAGGACCCTGAGTCCCCTCACCCGGAATTTCACACCCCGAGAGCAAAGCCACTACCGAGCAAGCCTCTGCCGGAGAAACCGTTACCAGATGTGCCATTACTAGATGATGCTTAAGGACAGATCAAGTAAATCAAGAATATTTTGGATAATTGGTTAGATTTGGAATTTTCCTTCGACTGCTTCATGTAGATATCAATAATCATAGACCAATACCCAAGACCATATTCTATACAGCCTCTCTTAGAAAGTAGCGATTCGGCGAAGGAAGCAGTTAAGGTAGGATCATAAACCTTGTTAATGCACGCATGATCTAACGAGTGCGTCTGGCGCAGTCTAGAAAATTGGAACTGCACAGACTAGGGAGAAATACGTGCGGGAACCAGGCACTCGAAGCAATGCAAACGACAGTGCTCTTTACCCGCCAACTTCCACTCGATGGGTACGTCGCAAGCTTTCGGCCTCTCAAAATCGAATCTATGCTTTCGATTTCTGAAGACCTCTCAGCTCAGGCAAAGCAAAACCTCCTCTCTTCAAAAACAAATGACTTTTCCTCTCAATCTATTTTCCTCCTTAACTCTACCCAAGCGACCCTTCGCCCCTTCCTTCATACATGCGCATTGACCCTCAAAAATGCCGTCTTTACTCGACCACGCACAAGCACCTCTCTTCCACAACTTCCGCTACTAATAACCACTCGCTCTCAAGCAATAAAACAGTCTCTTATACTCTTCCACGGCTAATAAAGTACACGCGATGACATGGTGCAGGGGGCCGAACGTGCGGGAGATGTGCAAACAGCCACGTGCTGCTGAGTGGCTGCTGACAGGATTCCTTCCATCCACCAGGTACCACTCCTGCGCTACCTGTATGTAGGTCGAAAACGAGGTGGATTTAATGCGAATGGCGTTCACTTGGCTGTTTGGCTCAGTCTGCCGTGCCGCGGTATGGGGTTTCCAACACTGGGGCGTATCTTGGAAGGTGTTGGGCTTGGAGTAGTAGTGGTTATTCGCATCTTGGTGTTTCGGTGATGTAGCTATAAGTATAATGGCAGTTCTTCTATGGTTCTGTTCTATTCTAAGTTTCAAGAGGGGTTCCTTCTCACAGTCACTCATTTATTCGACCTCCCAAGAAACATCTTTCACCACATTCGCTACCTTAGTCATGAAGTCCACACATCTCACAGCGGCCTCGCTGCTCATCTCTTTCTGTCAAAGCTCACCACTCCTCCAAACGAGCGCTTTCCTAGACATCGAAACCCGCCAGTCCCCAGGCTCATACTTTGCCATTACAGGGGCTACAGGAGGCGTTTTTCCGCGCATGGAGATTCGCGATCTCGAGAAGGCGGGGGAGATGTGGAATTTGTATCTTCTAGCTATGGCGAGCTTTCAGGCTATGGATCAGAAAAATATTGCCTCTTGGTATCAGATTGCAGGTATGTTGGGGACTCTCTGCTTGAGGATCATGTGCTAAAATCGGATTGTCAGGGATTCATGGGATGCCTTGGTAAATAATCTATTTCCTCGGGATATCTATTGAAATTGTGCTTATTCTTTGCAGGATACCGTGGGATGGTGTAAAAGGAATCATCACTGACGAAAAATCGACTTCCCAAAGAGGTTATTGTCCACACAACCAGCTTCTTTTCGCCACTTGGCACCGTCCATATCTCGCTCTCTTTGAGGTGTGTAGGACTCTATTAATTGGAACTGGGAAACTAATGCAAAGAAGCAACAACTCCAAAAACTAGCCAAAAACATCGCAGATCAGTTCCCCACTCCTACCAGAAAAGTCTATCAAACCGCCGCGTCGCAACTCCGAATCCCATTCTGGGACTGGGCGAAAGCCCTCCCAACATCCCAACCCGTACTTCCTACTGCCGTCACTGTAGAGAAAGTCAGCGTGACGTTTCCAAATGGCACGAAGGCGAATATCGACAACCCTCTTTACGACTACAACTTTCACCCCCTCGACCATTCCCAAATAAACGGCACAGTACGATTCCCTCATCCCAAATCTTACACACTGAACATAGGTGTGACTGACAACCTCAGGGCTGCCCCACAATTGGCACTCCTGGAGGCGCCGTCGGCGGCCTCCCCTCCGTCTGCGACAACTCACTCATGACGGTTCGCAATGGTGAAACGGTCTCAGACCATGTTGGCCTGAACCAAAAACTACGGAATATCCTCCCCTCCCAGAGAACCAAAGTCTATGCAATCCTCTCGCAATGGCAGTCATTTAACACGTTTAGTAATGATGGGGGTTGTGGGGTTGGAGGCCCTGGAACCCTCGAAACGGTACACAATCCGATTCATACGAATATGTGGCCGGGGCATATGAGTCCAGCGAGTGTGAGCGCGTTTGATCCGATTTTTTGGCTGCATCATGCGTGAGTTTCTAACACACATTCATTAGTACTGGTATTAAGAGGGCATGCTGATGTGAAGAAGGAATGTTGATCGCCAAATGGCACTATATCAGGCGGTCTTCCCGCAGACATATGTTGAGCAATGTATTGCAGATACGCCAACATATACGATTGAAAAGGGGGATGTTCTTGATGCGAATTCACGTAAGTCATCCGTCCGTCATTAGCAACTGGAGAGGGGAGTAGAGTATATAATCCGACTGGTTACTAACTTTCCGAATACAGCACTCACACCTTTCCACAAAAACGCCGCTGGGGATTGGTGGACTTCAGCCAACTCTCGAAACACTCGGGACATGGGGTACACATATCCAGAACTTACATCGAACCCAAGTAACTCAACACTCGTGGCGCAGATCAAATCGCTGTATTCAGGACCAGCTACTGGGAGCAGCTCACAGCCTAGGGCTAAACGCCAGGAACCTGGACCTGGACCAGAGAAAGGGTTGGTCTACTTGGTGGAAGTCAAATTGCCCTTATACGGCCTTGACGCAGGCGCGCCTTACAACCTGCTTGTATTTCTTGGTAACGTGGCGAGTGATTCAAAGGAGTGGTTGGGCTCGGATTCCTTCGTAGGCATGGCGTCCACATTGGGTGGGAATAATATGAAGAGCGAGCAATTTACTCTCACGACAGTGGACCTGAGTGAAGCGCTGGAGAAGCGTATTGCGGCGGGTGATACGACAGCAGAACAAGCGGAAGAATATTTAAAGAAGAATTTGCATTATCGGTTGGAGCTTGTGAGTTTCTTCAAATTTCAGGGGTTATGGACTAGAGCGATCTTCTAACAGAAATTAGGGCGAGATTGAAATTCCTAGAGCAGAAGTGCCGGGGATAAAGGTGTCATTAGTCACCACGGAAGTTGAGCTTGCGGCTTCGAATGATGTTTTCGACCGCTGGGTTGGCGGGTTTGTGGATCATGGGGAGGTTGATAGCTGAGGTTCTTCCTTTCCCTCTTTCCTTCTGTGCTTCCTTTACTCAAATTTTTTTCTTCCTGTGATATCTTGGCGCAATCTCTGGATGTTGTGAGAACCTCCTTGTTACACCACACCAATCCACATAGAGACTACAGCGTTCATGCACCAATAAGTGAAATCGGGTGCTCCTCAGCCTCACGTAGCCACACACAGGCCTAATACAGGTGTGATGCAACCTTGTAGTTAACTATTAAAATTAATTTACAGGATACCGCAGTAAAGGTCCCATAGAAGGCTCTGCGCGAGCGCAGACGGTGCCTTTTCAGACTGGATACAGGACAGGGTGAAGATAGGCTTTAATCTACCTCAGACTATCTAATTTCTTCTTTGTAGAGCAAGGTGCTTAGACACTAGTCTTGCACTTGTACACCCCTATAGCTGAAAATAAAACTAAGCGCTGGCACAGAGAATTCTTCATAGCATGCGTAATACATACCATGCCCGAGCAGCATAGTGGCGTCGCTCGCTCTACCTTCCATGCTCGTGCACTAGGCCGACGCTCGTATTAGCAGCGAACATCGAGTACTTTATAAGCCTACGCTCCAATGCGTGCTCTCTGGGAGACCTTAGCCCCCGGACTAATGTATGGCCCTGGTTAGTGGCGCCTGGGTTCATTCAGCTTATGACTTACAAAACATGGAATTGACTGTGTTGCAATGTTTCCACCACAATATTTGCACTCTCCAGTTCTTCGTTAGACAAGGGAGCAAGAAATGGTCTTAGAAGATTAAAGAAGCTAAGATCTCGCGAGAAGAACCGGTACACTATATGCTCGAAGAACCGAGGGAAATACCCGGCAGCGGACCAGTCGACGAGATGGATACAATTGCCATTAACTATAATATTTCGTGGATTAAAATCCAGATGGCACATAGATAGGGTATGGCGACGAAGATTAAGCGTGTGCACTGGGCTAGGTGAACGTAGATTGAGCCAAAGTTGGAGGTCATCAGGCTCCGAAAACTCCACCTCTTCATGTTCAGGCCAGAGCACACCAGATACTGGCCCGCCTCCAAGTGATCCCGGCTTCGTCGCTCCCTGCTGATGGATATGACCTAAGACCTTGCCCAGCTCCTCAGCTAAGTTTTTCGCGCTCATCAGGTCAAGCGTATTGCCATCCACATAGTCCATCACGATATACCCAATCTCCTCTTTCTGCACGAACCGATAAGCTGTTGGCACATTGACTATGTCTGCGTTAAGGAGCCTCTGTGCAACCTGTTGGTTCCTAAATTCTTGAATGGTAACAAAATGTCCAAACTTCACAGCCAGCCCGTCCGTAACGCGCACCACCCTGTTTGAGCACTGCGGCGCTGAGAGAATTGTGGTTGCTGGATTGTGACAGAGCGAGATGATTTGATCATCAGTAGGAACAGACATAATGGATAATTAGAGGATAAACAGTAGATACAAGAATTTGTCTAAACAACAAGCTGGTATTAGCCTTCCTTTTCAGAAGCTTGGATGACATATGTAATCAGACGTCTCGCTTAGCGCACAGGCCAGCTTCTAATACACGTGCACTAATTGCCTCTCTCTCTTCTTTCCTCTACTATTAAACTAGTTAACAGATTCCCTAGATAACCTAGTGTTAATAATAAGTAAGAGTAAGTATATATAACTAACATTAAATAAAAAAACACTTAACACTTTTAGCTTAAGTAAAAGTAATTTTAACTTTAACTTACAAAAGTTAAGTCTAGTAAAGTAACTAACGTACCTAACGGGTTGGCCGGCCACTTTTGCCAAGCCCCCACTAAAACCACCCCATTCTCTCGCAAAACAGCCCACTTTAGCCCTGTATAAAGTAATACAACATAAGATATTATTTAGAGTCTACTTTTGCTACTTACTTACACATATATAAGTTATGCCTAGTCTAATTGCACTGCTTACATTGCCTTTAACTTAGCTTACCTCCTTTAGCGCGCACCTGCGTCTTTAGCTTCTTCCTATTACTATGCGCTCTAAACTCCTTTAGAGTAGTTAGACAAGCTCTATTCTTAACTATTAAGATCTCTTTTGCCTAAATCTGCTTTCTTTTATGCAATTTATGTTATGTGGCAGCCTTATTTACTGCTTAAAGCTTTATAATTTTATAGCCTACCCTATTATGTTAATGCTCTAGATAACTGTTGTTTACTCCCTATTACCTTACTATATTACTTTTAGCTGTCCTTATCTCTCTAAAGCTATAACAACTGCTCTAGTTAATATCTAGCCTATTATAAAGCCTAACTTGTTAAAGTTATACCTATCTTTATTCTAGATACTGTACTTAGCTTTTATGTTAGCTACTAGGCAAAACTAGCCTTAAATAACCTCTAGATTCTTATAAAGCGCTCTCTTGTAATTATACTTATAATTAAACTTTATTATAAACTTAGGGCAGTGCTTAACCTACATACTAGTCTAGTTTAAGCTAACCTAGCCTAGATTGCGCTCTGCAGGCAAGGAATTAGCTATATTAGCTATAGCTGTAAGCCTAAGGAGAAATCTGCGCGTAATAAGCTTAAGTATGTACTTAACAACTACTTTCTCCTTAAGCTTAGTTAGTGTCACGATTGTGCACAAGTAAGGTTATAGAGCTTCACAGAGGTCTAGTTTAATTACTACGTGAGGTATTATAGTAGGTACAAGACATTGTGTAAGGAATAGGAAGGTTTAAAAAGAAATTAGTAATTAAATACTTAGCTTAAAAGTCTAAGCGCTTTAAGTATAAATTAAGCCTATTTTAAGTTTAGTTAGTGTTAAAGTAGTTTATGCTTAAGTTTATGTCTATGTTATATTATATTTATATTAGATGTGCACTAATAATACTCTAGTACACGTCTAATATAGTTATGTCTAGGATCTAGAGAGGATACTGTAACAGTACTCTCCCTCTTATTAGAAAAGAAATCTTTTACATTAGTAGTTCTAGCATTAGGTTATTTTTATTAGAGTATAGGTTTAGTTTAGATAGGTATTAGGCGTAGAATTAAGTTACTATAAAGTTTTTTTATAAAGCTTTTATAAGTTTTTATAATAGTTTGTTATATCTAGTCTATTTTATAAAGTATTTATAGATATGTTTTTTCTTATTAAACTAAATTTATTTAACATTTTTTATAACATATTCTAGTTTATTATTTATAATAATAAGTTTAGGTAGTAGGTTTAGCTGTCTAGGTAAATAGTTAGATTTAAAGGCTACTTAGCGCAGTAATAATATGTAGAACACAGGGTGTATCTTTATGCTGTTAGGTAGGATTAATTAGTAAGCATATAATAAAACTATATAAGCTACTATAAAAAAGCTAAAGTTTTTCTAATTAAGTTTCTTTAATTATTAGTTTATTTAGATATTTTTAGTGTCTAGCTAGACCTTCTTACTAGCTACATACATAGGGGTAAGAGTTTAAAATTAGTTTATGTACTCTTGTTAAAAAGCTTAAGCCTATGTAAGCTTTTTATAAATATATTTAGATATATTTTAGATTTTATTAATAAGTCTATTTATATTTATTACTTATATAAATTAATAAGTTAGTTAAAGGGTATTTAAAAGTAGTTTAAATTCTATTTAAAAGTAGTATTTATAGTTTACTAAAAACAAGAATACTTATGTTAATTTAGATATTATATTATTAGCTTTAAACTATGCTATAGCTAACTATTTTACTTAGTTATTTTACTAGTAGTTTATGTACACTTATAAAACTTATTTTATTACAGCATTTATGTTCTTAGTTTAGCTATTAGTTTTTAGGTAAAAAGCTATAAATAAATAGAGGATAATTTAGAGCTATTTATAGAGTTTATTCTAAAAAGCTAAGATAAACTATGTACCTTTATCTAATATAATTATGTTAGGTAGGCTATAGTAAACTTATATGTATTAGTAGAATAACTAGGCTATATTAAAGGCAGTTATAAAGGAATATAGTATTAAGTGTTAATACTTAGTTAAGTAATTAACAACTACTATAATATTTATATACCCTTTAAATAAAGGTAGGTTTATAATAAAATTAATTAATATATTTTTTTAAGCTTATTTAAGAATTAGAAGCAGTTTAAGTAGGCTATTATACCTTTTTTAAAAGGCCTTTACTTTATAGTAAGTATAGTAACATAATATATATTAGCGTACAGTATAGAACATGCAGGGCTAGTAGTACTCTCTTTGTAGTAGGTTAAGAGTCTTTCCTCTGCCTAAGTGTCCTCTAACAGGTAAGTTGTGTACAATTTAAAGTAGTTTAATTCTTAGTTTATTAAAATTAGAGATTATAAGTTAGTTATAGTAATATAGCTTACTATTTTAGTTTTTATAGTTAGCTAGTGTTACTTTCTTTAACTAACTAGCGCTGTTTTAGAGCAGGTCTAAGGTTTCTTAGATAAATTTATTATTTAAATACTTATTAGTAATAATTTAATTAATTATCTAATCTATTTTATTTAAGTTAAGGTCTAAAAATAGCTTAAGTTAAAGTAAAGTTTAGTATTAAACTTTTTACACTTTTTTTTAAGTAGGGATGTTTTAGAATTGCTTTATAAAGGTATTTAGTTTTTTTCTATCTTAACTAAGATAATAAGTAATCTTAAAATTAAAATAGAATAAGTATTTAGACTAATAAGCTTATTAGTAGCTAAGTTATTTTATAGTTATAAAGTACTATAAGTTCTTATAGTTAAATAGAACTTATATTAGATACACTGCACCTTCTAGTTTAGGTTACTATTATTTAAAGTAGCATACTATAGTAAGTAATTTCTTATTATAGATCTTATAATTACTTTTTATAAAACTTATTCTTTTTAAGAAGTATGTAATAGGCTTAATAGTCCTGTCTAGCTTAGTCTAGAAAAGAACTTCTGCTACTACATAGTCTAAGGCATTAGCTTTTATAAGTATTAGTAGTTTAAAGTTAAAGTAGTAGAGTATTAAGGCTTTAGTAAAGGCTTTCTTTAGCTAGTTAAAAAACTATTAGTAATTTAAGTTAAAGTTAAATTAAATTTTTTTTTTTAGTAAGTGTAATTATAGAGCTTACTTACTATAAAAAGTTATTAATAAATTATTAGTAAAAGTTAGTAAATCTTATAAAAGCTTAAACATTTTTTACATTTTTTAAGTATTACTAATCTAGTATAGTCTAAACCTTAATAAGGTCTATTTAGATGCTATCTGTAAAAATTACATATCTTAAATATATAACCTTTAATTAGTAGAACTTACATTTATTTATGTTAAGTTACAGACTTACTTCTTTTATAGCCTTTAGCACTAGGCGTACATGCTGTTTGTGCTCTAAAAGGCTATTACTATAAATTAGAATATTATTAATATACATAGTACAGAATATATCTAGGTAGGGTTAGAGCAAGTTGTTTATAAAATGTTAAAAAGTACTAGGCGTGTTAGCTAAGCTAAAAGGCATTACTAGGTACTTAAATAGTTTGTAGTAAGTTTAAAACACTGTTAGCTACTTATTACCCTTTACTATTCTTAGCTTATTAAAGGTAGTAATAATATTTAACTTTATAAAATACTTTGCTTTACTTAGTTAGCTTAGAGTTTCTTATAAAAAGAGAATTAAGTATTAGTTTTTAATAGTAATAGCATTTAGTCTTTAGTAGTTAATATAGAATTAAAGCCTACTTTTAGGTTTTTTTATAAATAGTATAAGTAACACTACTAGTAAAAAGCTAGCTTAAATAAACCTTTTTTCTAGGTTCTTATTAAAGTATTTTTAAAGCACTTTTAATTTATTTAGTAACATTTTATATAGTAGCCTATAACTAGGTTGTTTACTAGGCTTAAAGGTTATTTAGTAATTATATAAATGTTATATTAAAAGCTTATTAAACTTATCTTAAAAAAAACATATAATAAGTTATAGTAGTCTTAAAAAACTATTATTTTTAAGTTAGTGTGTTTTTAGAGAGCTAAAGCTTAGTCTATATTAGAAATTATAACTATGTAGATTTTATAATCTAGTTGTTAAGCTAGAGTTATAAATAAGGTAGGTTCTATATAGTAGATGTCTATCTACTGTTTAAGTCCTAGTTTATGTTTAAATTAGGTAAGTAAAGATTTTTTAAAGGCTTTTTTTTTTTAAGTTTAGGCAGTTGTTAAATTATTTTATATAGCCTATTTTAGTAAAAGGCCTAGCTTATTAGCTTTACTTAAGTAGTTTTTCTCTAGGTTATTAAAAAGTAGGTCTAAAAACTTTTTATATTAAGTGCTACTTAAGTGTTATTTAGGTGTAAGCATAAGCATATATCTTAGTATTAAAAAGAGTTAAAGTTTAGAACTTACTTTTAGTAATTAAAGGTAACCTTATGCTAATATAGCTATAGTTGTTTTAAAATTAAGTTATAATATTTTATGTTTATTACATAGAGCTTAATCTACTCTTTATAGTGTTAGTAGGTAATTATAATAGTTATAGTATAAAAAATAAAACTTTTTTTAAGTTATTTTTTATTAAATCTAGTTAAGTAAATTATTTAAGTAAGTAGTGTTAATTAAAGATTTAGTTTACACGCTAGTTTTTTATTAATATAACCTATGCTATTTACTTCTAAGTTAATAAAAGCTTATATTAGAGCTAATATAGTTCTTTATTATAAATATATAAAAATATTAACTTAGTACTTTTAGTTATTAGTAGGGGACTTAGCTTATAAGTTAGCAAAGATCTAGTGTTAAATTAGTTCTAAAGAGCAACTTAGCCTTAAAACAAGCCTTTTTATAGGCTTTTACTGCTATAGCTGCAGCTATATTAAAAGTAGCAAAAAGAATTAAAGCTTAAATATAAGTTAAAGCTCTTATAAAAATAAAAATAAAATAGTAAAAATTTTTAATAAGTGCTAGCAGCGCTACTTATGTAGACTTAAGAAAAAAGAATAAAGCAGTTTTAAAATATATAACTATGCTTACTATACTTAAAGCATTAACTTTTTTTTTTATAATCTTTACACTTTTTAGAACTAACTAGAGTATAATTTAAATTAATTTTTATTATATTAAAGTTCTTATTTATAACTGCGCTAGTTTAGAGGTGTATTAAAGCTTATATAGGAAAAAACCTTATATTATTATTATAGGTAGTAATTAGGTTTACATACATGTTAAGGTTATTTAGGAGAGGTTCTTCTACTATAGCGTGTTACAGTTTAGTTAAGAGGGAGTTATATAAAGCTGTAATTAGACCTATCTTATTTAGGCCTATATTAGATGCAAGTTAGTAGAACTTAGTAAAGTGTAAAGTAAAGCTTTTTTTTTTTATTATAAAGTGTTTAAGTAACTTAAGGCTATTAACTTTTTATTTAAGTCTTTATAAGTTACTTATAAAAACGCTATAAATTAATCTAAGTTAATAATATTTTTATTTATTAGTAAGTTAATTAAAGCAGTTATATTATAGTTAAGTTAAAAGTAGGTATATAGTAACTAAAAGCATTTAAAAAGAAATTAGTCTACATTTCTTTTAAGTTTATATTAGAGCTTATATAAGAAAAAAAGTAAGTTTTTTTATTTTTTATTAAATAGTAAGGGATTAAGGAGTTAGTTAGATTTTATTACTAAGTTAAAAAAGTTACAGGTTATAAGTAGTGTTAGGTAGAAAAAAGTTAAGCTATCTCTAGACTTCTAAGTAAGCTTTAAGGCTAGTAAGTTCTTAGTTTTTACTACTATAATAAAAGTTAAAGTAGAAATAAACTACTTAATAACATAAAGCTGTTTTTTAAAGTCCTTTTAAAAAGCTTTAAAGCTTATAACATAGCAGCTTTTTTATAAAGTAAGCACTTTTTAGAAAGCTTTTTAGCTTACTTTAATAGCTTAGAGTTATGTAAGTACTAAGCTTATTAGATTAAATTTAAAGGCTATTCTTAGCTAAAGTTTTAACACAACGTAATGTTATAATTATGTATAAGTAAGGTTATAAAGCTTTACAGAAGTCTAGTTTAATTACTACATAAGGTATTATAGTAGGTACAAGATATTATATAAGAAATAAAAAAGTTTAGAAAAAAATTAGTAATTAAATACTTAGCTTAGAAGTCTAAGCACTTTAAGTATAAATTAAGCCTATTTTAGGTTTAGTTAGTGTTAAGGCAGTTTGTACTTAAGTTTATGTCTGTGTTGTGTTATGTTTGTGTTAGACGTGCACTAATAATACTCTAGTACACGTCTAATACAGTTATGTCTGGGATCCAGGGAGGATACCGTGACAGTTAGATTCCTTAATTTAGGCTAGCATTCTGCTTGTAAAGGCTGTCTAGCGCGTTAATTGCTTAGTGTTGTGTAAGAGACATTATAGATAGCTGCAGCGCGTTGTAAGAAGAGTTTTAAGTCTTATTTAAGAGCCTAAAGAGCAAGCTGTATCTAACGTTCTTTAGAAGATTTAATCTAGTGTTGTTGTTAAGGCATTATGTAGATAGGTAGAGTTTAGTGGGGGCTTGGCAAAAGTGGCCGGCCAACCCGTGTGGCCGGCCAACCCGTTAGGTACGTTATAGTATATAAATATCTACCTATATATATCCTCTGCTATGCTAGCTAGAAGGTTAACTTTTTAGCAACGTAATAGTAACTACGAAATTTTAATAATAATACTATAAATGTCCGTACGTAAGTACGGCTGCGTCTGTACACGCGTACGGCTGAATTAGGTTGCCTGAAACGTTGGCTATCTAGCCTGTGCGTTAGGGGCTATGTGTACTTAAGAGCCCTCTTTCTTTATATAAAAAGAGAGGGCAGTAGTTAATAATAAAAAGATCTTTACTTACTTACCTTTTAGTACGCCCTTTAGGTGTATGTTTGTTTAATTAAACCTAGGTTAACTAACACTAATTAGTTTATTAATAAACTATTTACTATATGCGTAGCTACACAGAGGATATTATCTTTAATAGACAGATTTATAAAAATTAATAAAACTACTACTGTACAAGAAGCTTACTCCTACTGTGTGCGTAGCCACGCAGAGAGGGCGTGAACAAGCCTTGTGCGCGCCCCTAGAGTTAACCGCCTGTACAAGAGCTAGCCTGCCGCTGCAGTATCTATCTACCGCGTGCGTAGCCACGCAGAGGAGGCACCTACTGCACTAGTAGCTGTTGTATGCCCCTAGAGTCAACTGCTTGTACAAGAGCTAGCCCGCCGCTGCAGTATCTATCTACCGCGTGCGTAGCCACGCAGAGGAGGCACCTACTGCACTGGTAGCCGTCATATGCCCCCGGAGTGAACCGCCTGTACAAGAGCCAGCTCGCTAGCTGCAGTACCTATCTACCGCGTGCGTAGCCACGCAGAGGAGGCATCTACTGCGACTGGTAGCCGTCGCACGCCCCAGAGCCAACCCGCTACCCTGTACAACAGCTTGCTCTTTGAGAGCCACCGTACAGTCAACCAGCACCCTCCACCCTCCCCCTGCCCCCCCTGAGAACGGCCGTACAAACACACGACCAGCACCACCCACCCCCCCCCCCCAGACAACGGCTGTACGAACGCAACTAGCCCCCCCTCCTGACAGCTGTACGAACAAGCAACCAGCCCCCGCCCTAGAGCTAACCTGCTACTCCGCACAACAGCTTGCTCTTTAGGAGCCACTGTACAGTTAACCACCACCACCTAGACAACCGCCGTACAAACGCAACTGGCACCCACCCCCCCTAGACAACTGCTGTACAAACGCAACTAGCACCCCCTCCCTAACAGCTATACAAACAAGCAACTAGCAAACCCTTACCTTATTATAAAATACTTGTATAATAAACTAGTAGAGATAACCCACATGTCTAGGACAATACTATAAAAGGAGGTTAACCTTACCCCTTCTAGTAGACTGTCTTAATATGTTAATAAATCCTTTTTAAGTATAACAAACCTTATACATAGTAGATACTTTTATTTTTATGCATATAAAAAGGTACAGTCTGTCTAACTTTATAGAAGACTTTAAAGGCTAGACATAATAGGATTTTAATAACCTATCTTGTACATTTAGGCAAGAGCTTCTCTATGCTCTAGCTAAGCACAGGATCTATCCTGTAGGAAAGAGATGCTATACGTAGGCTAAAAAGCTAGCAGGTGTTGCAAACTAGCAGTACACTATAGGCCCTATATAAAGAAGAAGAGGAAAGGATGTAGGGGATAGTATAAAAGAGAATAAAAAACAAGGCAAGGCAGGCAAGTAACTTAATTTATAAAAATAAAAAGTTACTAGTGTCTGTACGTAAGTACAGCTGCGTTTGTACACACGTACAGCTAAATTAGGTTGCCTAAAAGATTAGCTATCTAGCTGTCAGATATGCGCACCTACTGTCAAGACAGGAGGAACGTTTGACGAAAGCTGCTACATAGTACGAGTGTCAGATTGAAGCACTGTTTCTGGGCTTCCTGAGATGAATGATGGGTTTGGATATGATGTATGGGATGATTAATTGATTGTATTAATTGTGTTTATTTATTAATCCTTTTTCTGCTCTACTCGTGTTGCTCGGCTTTTTGTTCTGCCGATCCGAGTCCCTCGCGCACTACCCGTTTTTCTCGCTTGACGCACGGCCTCACCTGGCGCACGGATTTCAGCCAATATCCTCACATAGATTTGAAGCTCTAGAGCTCACTATAATTCGAATTATCGCAAGATTTTATAGAGTAACAGGCAATAGGGTATGGCGAATAAAACTACGTCATTATCTAGTCGCGATACCTAGTAGGAAGGCTGATCTGTCGCCCTCGGCGATTTGTCAGCTGGGGGGCAGCGATAACCTCTACAACTGATTCCTTATTACTACTATCATCCTAAGGACTAAGAGAATGCTGTTTGCTCCTTTTTTTAGCCTGTTTAGCATATTAGATGTCCTTTTAGAGCTGCGCAGCTGCTAATCTAGCTTGCTTGTTGTCCTCCTTCTCCCGCTGCTTCTAAGCCTGCTCTTAGAGTTAGATTTCCTTTGCAGTAGCCTTCATGCGCTGTCTCTTCTCTATAACCTGCTCCTTCTCTGCTTTCTCTGCAGCTTTGCGCTTAGCATTTTCTTTTTTTTTAAGTCTCTCTGCTTTTACTGCTTCTGCTTTCTTTGTTTCTTGCTTACAAGCTTGCTAGACCTTGTTTAGGCTTTAAAAGATTGCTCTACTATCTAAATTAGAAGGAAGTTTAAGCTAGAAAGCTTTACCTTTTTGCTAACACTTCTTTTTATTAACTAGTGCTTTTTTAAGGCCGCGAACCTCTAGTTTTAAGAGGATGTTCTGCGTAGATAGTGAGTGGATTGTTTGTAAAAGCTGCTAAGCCTTAGAGTTGTATACGTTGTTAACAACTAATTTTAAAAGCTTAGTAATCTTCCTCTAATCTTTAGCTGTAAGCACTAACCTTAAGCTCTTACTAGAGGAAGGTCTCTTAGCCTTAGGGTTATTAAATTAGTCTAGAATAATGTTAGGCTTAAAGGGATAGAGACTGCAGGTTTTAAACCCTAAGAGGACGTTCTTAGCAGTAAAAGCTCTCTCCCATGCTGCCTAGAACATGCAGAAGAAATCTCTCTTAGTAATAGCAGAGAAAGCTTAAGATTCTTCTATAAACTGTGCTATCTTATAGGTATAAGCTTGTAAGAGAGGCCTAAACAAGCAGACGTTAAGCAGCTAAAGTGTATAAGTACTATAAGGGGGATAGATAGCTAGGAGGATCTTGTTATTATCACAGTACTTAATAAACTTTATGTTTATATAGGATCTATGTCTATTAAGGATAAGGAGTTAGTATCTTTGCTGCGCCTTTAGTTTAGTCTCTTTATTAAAGATTATCTTAAGCTATTAAAGCCTAAGGTTGTTGTTAGTCTATTTACTTAGAGATAAGGCAAAGAAAGCTTTATGTATCTTAGGATTAAAGTCCTAAAGCTATAAGTCTTAAATGTTACCTGTAACTGCCTAGTAGATGAGGCCTAGAGAGAGAGAGGATCTGTTAGCGCATATACAAGCAATTGTTGTTATCCACTTGCAGTTGCTGTCCTGAACCATCTGCTTAATCCCACCCTCTTCATACTTCTGCTAGGAGAAGATCCGCTTCATCTTTAAGAGCACCCTAATTAAGAAGCCCTTTTTATCCATATTGTACATGTCTTTTGGCTGGATATTGTATTGTTTAATCTTGCGCTTTAGGAGATTAAAATATAGTGCGTATTTAAAGGCAGAATTAGCTCTCTTCCTCTCCTTGTTAATGCCAGTAGTCCACTTTGATACTAGGTTGACTTAGTAACGCTTGAGGAACTGGTCCGGCCACAAGCTCCCTGCCTGTTTGCCGCTTATTTTAGTAGCAAAGTTGCGTAGCATGTTCCTTGTAGGGGGTAGCCCTCGCTCACACAGTCTCTCAATGTATTCCGAGAGCTCCTTCTCCTGACGGTTGTTTAAAAGTCGTTAATTCTCATATTGCTCTGCACGGGAGCCCTGGACCCCGCGCCACCTTCGCGACAGCGTTGATCGTTTAACACCATATTTTTTTCGCAACTTGAGTGATATTAACTTTTTCTCCAAACTCCAGGGATTCTAACGCTGCAAGCGCTTCCAAAATCGGGTCCATATTGGTGGAGTTAGTATTATGTGACAATTTTAGTGTTCCTGAGCAAAGTGTGCGCCAGGTGAGCCCGTGCGTCAAGCGAGAAAAACGGGTAGCCCTATGCGCGACCAGCTTGCAACATGCTGCAATTTGCTGCAAAATGCTGTAACATGCCGCAATTTGCTGCAATTTGATGCAACATGCTGCAAAATGCTGCAATTTGCTGCAACATGCTGCAAAATGCTGCAATTTGCTGCAACATGCTGCAAAATGCTGCAAAATGCTGCAAAATGCTGCAATTTGCTGCAACATGCTGCAAAATGCTGCAAAATGCAGCAATTTGCAGCAACATACTGTTCGAGCTTATTGCTCGTACTATGTAGCAGCTTTCGTCAAACGTTCCTCCTGTCTTGACAGTAGGTGCGCATATCTGACAACGAGCAATAAGCTCGAACAGTATGTTGCTGCAAATTACAGCATTTTGCAGCATGTTGCAGCAAATTGCAGCATTTTGCAGCATGTTGCAGCAAATTGCAGCATTTTGCAGCATTTTGCAGCATGTTGCAGCAAATTGCAGCATTTTACAGCATGTTGCAGCATTTTGCAGCATTTTGCAGCATGTTGCAGCAAATTGCAGCAAATTGCAGCATGTTACAGCATTTTGCAGCAAATTGCAGCATGTTGCAAGCTGGTCGCGCATAGGGCTAGTGCGCGAGGGACTTGGATCAGCAGAACAAAAAGCCGAGCAACACGAGTAGAGCAGAAAAAGGATCAATAAATCAACACAATTAATACAATTAATTAATCATCCCATACATTATATCTAAACCCATCATTCATCTTAGGAAGCCTAGAAACAGTGCTTTAATCTAACAATTAAGAGTCTCAGTGCCTCCATTAATACAAAATGGCCACCCAGCCTCCTCGAGACGCGACAGTCGTCCTTCGAGACCACACCGACTACAGAGCCTAGATGATGCAGCTGCAATTAAGATGTGTAGCGCACGGCATCTAGCCGCAAGTGGACCCTAAGTTGACCATCCAAATGATCTCCAAACCAAGAGCTCCAGAGATGCCGCTAATAGCTGAGTTTTCACCAGCCTCCAACGTCAAAACGCCTACGCACCTGAACAAGCTATCAACAAGCAGTGTTAGAGCCTTTAAAGAAGCCATTAAATACTATAAGATTAAGGCTAACAAGTACAAAAGTAACAGACATAATTATAAAAGAGAGCAATTAAGCCTCTAACAGATTATTGTCTTTATCTAGTTAACAGTTAGCCCGCATCTACAGCGTACATGCTGTTCCCTAGATTAACTACTTAGACAGTGGATTACAAACTTTAAAGCTACAGTAGGTGTTAACAACTAATTTAAACAAGAACATGTGTGTAACTAATATAATGCATCTTTAAAGCTGCTAAGAAACGCAAGCATATAGAACCTGTAGCTAGCAGAGTATAACTACGCTGCTATAGAAGCAGAGACACAAAATGTTCTAGAAACAACGCAGTTTAATGCTGTAGCAAAGGACTTTCTAACTACTATAAATAAAGTTGCCCTTTATTAGTCTACAACCTTTTAGAAAAGCAGATAGTTCGCACTAGACATAAATTAGAAAGAAATAATAAAGCGCTTTTAAAAACATATAATGTTAAATTATTTAATATATATAGAAAAGCATAAAGCTACCTTTATAACAGATAACTTATTATACTTTACTAAAAGTAGAAAGACCACCTAGGGCACAAATAAGAACGCCTGTAGTGCAGAAGTTGTAATGTTAAGAAAATAGAGTAGACCTTAACATTAACATTATTAAGAAGATAATAAAAAGTTATTTTTAAGCTAGAAACCTACTAAAACAGAAGGCACTAAATGTCCTGCATGCAGACACATCTATGCACTAAAGGACTGCTTCTATGTCTATCTAGACAGAGCACTAGACTAGTAGATGCTAAATAAGAGAGTTAAAAAGCTTATAGCATTAAAGCGTAAGCACAACTTAGAATTTTAAGGCCTACTAAGAGAGTAGCGTAGACATAATTTAAAGATACTAAT